TTAAGGCCAGCCTGGACTACAGAGTGAGACCCTGTCTCAAAAGAAAAGAAAAGGGGCCGGGGAGATGGCCTAGTGGGATCAGCACTTCCCTGGCAAGCGCAAGATCCTGAGTTCAATCCCCAGTTCCACCAAAAAAAAAAAAAAAAAGAAAGAAAGAAAAGAAAAGCCCTAAAAATAAAAAAGTGAAGTAAGCATCTGTTGACCACCAGCACAGGCACTGCACACAGGTGGCCTGGTCCCTGGGCCGGCTGCATGGTGACGAACGGGCAGGCAGCATCAGCAGCATGGATATGGTGGGCAGAGGGGAGAGTCAAGGCCTGCGAGGGACAGGCCTTGACTCCCAGGGCCTGGGCTTGTGACCTGTGCGTCCTCTTGAGCTGACAGCTGTGTGTGTGTGTGTGTGTGTGAGTGTGATTTTGGTTATCGAAATTTCACACATCTACAAAGTATACACAATGCCAAGCATGTCCAGTGTGAAACACCCAGGAGCCAGTGTAGCCGCCATCCCAGCAGTTGCCAGCACTCTTTCCCTCCTTTATTTCTTCTGTCTCTTTCTGCCTCCCTCCTTTCCTCCCTCCTTTGTTTTGAAGTACTGAGGTTTAAACCCAGAGCACGATCTCCTTAGCCTTTTTTTTTTTTTTTTTGTCTTCCACATTGACACAAGATCTCATGAAATTGCTAAATTGCTTGGGCTGGCCTGGAATGAGCCATCCTCCTGCCTCAGCCTCCCAAGCACCGGTGTGACGGGTGCCCGCCGCCACGCCCAGCTACCGGTCTATTCTTATGCCACCTGTATATCCCCACTTGCTCCCCACCCCCCTGATATTTTTATACTTTTTACTGTTAGATGCACATTCAGTAAGAACACAAATGTGTGGCAGATTTTGACAAAGCAGGCCTCTGTGTAACCATGCAACGGCTCTCCCTTATCGTGGAGAACGTGCCTGTCTCCCTGGAAACTCAGACCCTCCCACTGGGCCTTTTTCTTTTTTTCCCACCTACTTTTGTCCCTTCCTCATGATAACTTCCTCTGCTTTCAGCATAGTAATTTTGAGGTTTAGCCGCACAGTGTGAACACTGACCATTCATCCCTTCTCACGAGTAGCTGGTTCCGCTGCCTGTTTGGTTTTCAGCCACGCCCTTCCCCGGCCTAGTTGGTCTCCGAGTGACAGCGGGTAGCTCCTGCCCCTCTGGGTCTCCTCTGTGCTCCACTTGGTTGGCTATTGTGAAAAGCACGCCCTGAAGTTGCGTCTCTGAAGTTGTTTTCTGTTTACAGACAGATGTTTCCTTGTTGCTCGGATAAATAGTAGGAGAAGCGGGGTTGGTGTTCAGGGATATGTTTAACTTTTTAGAAAACTACCAGCCGCTTTTCCAGCACAGTTGAATTGTTCCACATCCCCACAGGGAACGTGGGAAGGTTCCCTCAGACCTTGTCAGACTTGTTTATTTAGTCAGTGAGGGAAGTGCTTAGCGCCTTGTGTTTCCCCGGCTAGAACTGGTATTTCCCTAATGACTGGCAGGCTCAGTGCTATTGTGTATGCTGTTTGTTTGTTTGTTTGTTTGCAACTGTGCATCTTCTTTGTGAAGCGCTTGCTGAAGTCTTCGCATATTTTTATTATTAGGTTGTTTGCCTTATTATTGAATTGTAGGGCTTGAAAAATATGTTGTGGTTAATAAGAGCACTTTTTCAGATTTTTTTTTTTTATGTATTTAGTACATGATCTATCGGGTCTCACTACACAGATTGGACTTGTAGTGATCCTCCTGTTTTCGGCCTCCCAAGTGCTGGGATTACAGATCCACGCCACCACTCCCAATCTCAATCGCCCTCTCAGTGCACCCAGGGAGCGGGGCCCTTGAACCCGGCCCCTGCATCTACCTAAGCAGGCACTTTAATCCGCTGAGCTATCTGGCTGGCCCATGTTTTGGTTTTTTGTTTGTTTGTTTTTGTTGGTACCAGGGATCAATCTCAGGACCTTTTGTGCTTGCCAGGCCAGCTCATATGCTGCTGAGCTATCTCCTCGGCACTTTTATTAATGATTTAACCCTTTACAAAGTTGTGCACGCTCTGTGTGGCTTTAGCTTTTTGAAATGGGCTGAGATTTACTATCCAAAATGTCTACATTTCTCTCTGATCATTTTATTGTATTTAGTCTTGCTATGTAACAGTCTAACTTTATTTTTTTTATATTTATTTATGTTTATTTATTACATTTATTTATTGTGTGTGTGTGTGTGGCCAGCTCAGCCCACCAGGGGGCGGGGCTGGCTGGCATGTGGTGCTGGGGGATTGAACCGCGGTCCCTGATGCTTTGCCAAGCTTGTTTCAAGTAGGTGCTTTAGACCACTGAGCCATCTCTCCAGCTCCCACAGTCTAACTTTAAACTGGCTCTGTGGCCCAGACTGGCCTTGAACTCAGTACCCTCCTGCCTCAGCCTCCCTAGCGTTGGGCTGACAGGTATGCACCACAAACCAGCACTCCTTGGAACTTTATATATATATAAATTTTTTGGCGGAACCGGGGATTGAACTGCAGCCCTTGCGCTTACCAGGCAAGCACTTATTCTACTGAGCCATCTCCCTGGCCCCCTTGGTCCTTTGTACATTTCCTGTTGGTGGTAAGGTTTCCAAACGCTCACTCATAAAGCATGTCATTGCCCTTCACTTCCAGAACCTCCTGAGTAGTTATCCTTGCTCTTTGTCAGATGGCCCCAATCATCAGGACTACTGTGAGTCTGGTGACGGCGAGTCCCATTTCTTCTCTTCAGCAGCAGCCCCATCGTCCTCTTGCCGGGTCCTCGCCCTCGCTGTGACAGTGCTTGCAGTCCCCCTACGGCAGCTGCACCGCTCAACCTCGCTCCATTCTGACCCCTCCACCTCCACGTGGCCGCTGAAATCTCTCTGTAGGTCTCTCAGCACTGAGCTGCTGGTTTCCTCGAGGCCCTCTGTGAGGTTCAGTCAACTGAGCTGAAGTTTGAGTGGATTTTATAGGCAGCTCTGAGGACTCTGCTTCTCCCTCCTCCAGGAATCCTCCAACCTTCTGCCACCCATCTGTGCAGCATGGGGTGTGTGACCCCAGGACAGTATGCAGTAAATAGCTTGCCAAAGAGGGCAGGCTCCGAAGGCAGGCTGCGCAGGGGGGCACAAGTTGGAGACAACCTGCGCAACTTGGCAGCTTGGTGAGAACCTGTCTCAAAATAAAAAGAAAGGGGAAGGATGAAGCTCAGCAGGAGACCCTGGGTCTCTTCTCTGCTGCAAGGAGAGGAAGGGAGGAAGGACGGACCAGTGGCACAGTGACCTGTACCTTGAAGCAAGGTCACTTGTGCCTGGAGGACAAGAACCTGGCTCTGCCAGTCTGCTCCTTGCTCTGTCCCCGGATTCATATAACCGGTTTGCTGCAGTTGCCCCACTTAGTGTTGTGTGGGACAAAGCAGTGACCCCATGGAAATGACTGCTGTAAACGTTTAGAGAAAAGTGAGACCCCCAGACCTGAAGCAAACACCTCCTGCAGTCAGGGCTGCAGAGGACGCGAGGAGGCCCAGGTGTGCTCCGGTCGCTGGGGGTCTTCGGCGATTGGCGGCTCAGGCGGCACGCGTGGCTCGAGCGCCACCTAGTGGTCGGCTGCCTGGACAAAGACGCAGGCTGAGCGCGGGCCAAGAGTCAAAATTGTTCCCCGGGATCAGCACGAGATAAGACCAGCAGTGGTGGGCTCACACGTGCGCAACTCTTTCTGCTGTCCCTAGGAAACTCCATTTAATAATACCACATACGCACACGCACACACACAGACAGCTGGGTGCGGTGGCCATGCCTGTCATCCCAGCACTCTGGGAGGCTGAGACAGGAGTTGAATCCCAGCCTGGTCTACTCAATGACTTAGCAAGACCCTGCCTCAAAAATTAAAAAGGCAGGGGTTGTAGCTCAGTGTGAAAGCCCTGAGTTTCCTTGCTAGCACTACGACAAAAATGAAAATACAAAATCCCTTTCTGAAAGTTGTATGCATCTGACAGCAAGGAAATAGACTTTTGTACTATGGGCAGAGAACTCCAGGAGCAGACACTGGTTTTCCTTCTTTTTTTCTTTTTCTCTTTCTTTTAAAATTTATTTTTCTTTTTTATTTATTTGATACAGGGTCTCGCTACGCATTTTGGACTTGTAGTGATCCTCCCATCTCAGCCTCCCCTGCGCTGGGGTTATAGGCATGGGCTACCATGCCCAGTCTCAGTGGCCAGCTCTGTGCGCCTGGGTGTGGGGGCCAGCCTAGCATGTGGTGCTGATCACTGAACCCCATCCCCTTGTCTGCCTAAGCAGGAGCTTAATTCGCAGAGCTAGCTCGCTGGGCTCAGAAACCAGTTTTTATTTCTCCCTAAATTCCTGAGGGGTCCATGAACCCCAGAATGTGCTGTTTCTTTGGCAGATACTCTAGTCCCAAGGCCAGGGGTTCCAGGTTGGGGGTGACCATCTACCCAATGATTCCAGGCAACATCTTGGGACATTTGAAGTTGTCATGGAGAAGGAGGGGATTGCTGGCATCCAGTGGGCAGAGACCAGGAAGTGGCCTACAGTGCCCACAGACAAAACATACAGCCCCTAGCTGGGGGGGGGGGCACCCTCCCACCTGTGATCAAGCACCTGGGAGGCTGAGGCAGGAGGATCCCTGTGAGTTGGAGACCACCCTAGGCTATGTAGTGAATTCAAGGCTAGCCTAAACTGCATAGTGAGACCCTACTTCAAAAAATCCAACCCCAAATGCCACTGGTGCCAGCAAAACATGACCTTAGGGCTTTGTCAGGGTAGATTGTTGGAGTGACAACCATCTTCCAGGATGTGGTCTGGCCTGGTCGGCTGTGGAGAGACAAGAGGCTGTGATTCGGGGAGCACGCGCATGCCTGGGTTTTGCTTGTGCACCTCCGCCCCGCTGGGGTCTTGGCCCGACATTGTGGAGAATGGAAGTAAGGGCGCACCTGCGCCCTCACCCACACCTGTCTCACCCTCCGTAGGAGGAGCATGCAGAATTCTGAGGCAGGAGCAGACTCGCCTGCATCCGTGGCTCTTCGACCCACAGCAGCTGCAGCCCAGCCGGTGCCCGCCTCCCCGCAGGTAACCGCCCAGTGCTCCCAGTGGTGGGGGTAGGGGCATGGGGGTGGGGTCTTCTGTGCTCTGCAGACTTAGCACCCAGCTTGACAGTCAGCAGAACTGCATGGGGCGGGGGCCTGTGTCCGTGGAGACACGGTCTCAAAGGGAGAACTATCGAGGACTGGGACCAAAGCTGTATGAAGTCCCGGGGTTCCATCCCCAGTGCCACAGAAGATGTTTAAAACAAAAATTCCTGCAAAGAAATCATGGTAAAAACTCAGTAAGACACAACCCCACCCCCAAGTGCAACTGTCACTTCTTTTCTTTCAGTGCAAGTTTTCTTATACCTTGGAAATGAGCAGAAAGACTTTGTACACAGGCAAAATAGAATAGACTTCTTAGGGTTTGGTTCAAAATGGAGGTTAGGGTGGCCAGGGAGATGGCTCAGTGGAATAAGCACTTGCCTGGCAAGTGCAAGGGCTTGAGTTCAATCCCCAGTTCCACCAAAAAAAAAAAAAAAAAAAAAAAAAAAATGGAGGTTAGAATGAAAAGATGAATCTAGTTTTGAACTGGATGTGGTAGCACATGCCTGTGATCCTAACACTCAGGAGGCTGAGGCAGGAGGATCACCAAGAATTCACAACCAGTCTGGGCTGTGCAGTGAGTTCAAGGCCAAACTGAACTACATAGTGAGACCCTGCCACAAAATACAGTAAAAATAAAAAGGTAAATATTCTTTAAAGTTGGCAAAGAACATTTTCAAATTCAGGTTATGTTTGTGCCTGGATGCTTCTATGGTTTGAAATAAATCATAAAAGCGTACACAAGAAGGCATTATGGCCCACGCCTGTAGCTAGCACTCAGGAAGCTGAGGCAGGAGGGTGCCTTGATGTCAGGCCAGCCTGGGCTGCGTAGCAAGACTCTCTCAAAAACAAAAACAAAAGCAAAAACAACAAAAAGTAGAAAAACAAAACTGGACACCAGTGGGTACACTTGTAATCCCAGCATTTAGGAGGCTGAAGCAGGAGGATGGCAAGACCCTGTCTCAAAAACAGAAATCAAAACAAACAATAACAGCTAAAAGAAACAAACCAACACACACACACACACAGAGAGAGAGAGAGAGAGAGAGAGAGAGAGAGAGAGAGAGAGAGAGAGAACAAACCCAGGAACCCATGGGACAAGGAAACACAGGAAGCTTGGGTGGTGTCCAGAGCTGTGGCCCCGGGATCATCCATGGCTCACAGGAACACAGAAAGAAGCATGGCTCAGGTGAGGAAGGCGTAGTTCAACAAAACAGAAAGGCAGACACAGCCGCTTGTTCTCTTTGGAGTGGCCAGTGCGGCTTCTGTGGCTTTTGTTCCTTGTAGTTGGGACAGCCTGGCAGGGACACTTGGACCTAGGGCTGCGGAAGGGCAGGGTCAGATGTGCTGTCCACACCGGGTCCCCCTCCTTGGGCTGGGGACACGCAGGGGCCTTCTGCTGTGGCAAACCATGCTGCCCCATCTGCAGCGCTGCCTGGGACCCTGTGTCGCGTGGGCCGAATGCCAGTGGGGTCTACGTGGCTGAGGCCCTGGGCTCTGCCCATGTCTCTGCACCAGAGTGTGCACACGTGGCCAGGCAGTGACACAGCTCGCGACCCCTGCCCCCCACAGCTCTGTGGTGCTGCAGAGACCTAAGGCTCTGCATATGTATGCTTGACTGGGTGTTTGTCTGTTTAACAGGGTCTCGCTGTATGGCCCAGGCTGGCGGGAACTCACAGTGATCCTCCTGTCCCAGCCTCCTGCTGGTTGGGAAATTTTGTAAATAGAAAAAGAATCTATTTGTCTCTATATATTTTCTTTTGAGCTGGGGTTTTACTATGTCACCCAGGCTGGCGTTAAGTGACCTTTCTGCCTCAGCTTTTCTAGTATTTGGGGTGACAGGTATGCACCCTGATGTCTAGTTTAAGCCTTAATATTCTTTTTTCTTTCTTTTTTTGATCCCAGGGATCAAACTCAGGACCTTGTACTTGCCAGGCAGACGCTTATGCCCCTGAGCTATCTCCCCAGCCCCTAAGCCTGGATACTCTTAATGAGGTGAAATTCACAGAACATCATACAATATTCACTTTAAAGTTGGTAATTCAGTGGGTTTCAGTATATTCAGAGCTGTACAACCAGCGTTCATATCAAGTTCTGGAACATTTCATCACCCTAAAGGGAAGCCCTGTCCCTCTGAGCAGTTACCCAGCCCTCCCCAGCCTGTCCACCTGCCTGGGCATTTCCTGTCCATGGAGCCCATGCTGTGACCTCTGTCTGGTGTCTTACTGAGGACCGTGTCCCGGTCCCTCCTCGCTGTGGTGTCCCAGCCTCACCTTTCCCGGCTGCACAGTAACCCAGTGTGGGGATGGAGCCCATTCAGCTGCCCACTGCTCTGCTCCTCTTGTGTTCGTGGTGTCCTTGTCCATGAGCTCTCATCCCAGGGCCCAGCTCAGCCATGACACAGACACCCTTCGGTGGTGTCACCCTTGACTGCTAGAGACTGTGTCCGCGCTCCTCACCCCCCCTGTGGCGTTCCCGTGCCCAGCGCCACTGACTCAGAGACCTCTAATCAGGGACATTCAGGTTCCACCTGGGGACATCACAGCGTCACGGACAGCGCCCTTGAAAGCCGCAGCTTGGAATAAACAAGCATGGAACACCCTTTCCTCCTGCAAGCCTGGGAACCCCCTTTGATTCCTTATTTCTGTTTTTCCCAATCGGCACCCTGGTGTTGAAATGGTGAGATTATTTCCATGTCAGACTGAAGATTAGGAACAAACAGAGCTTTCTTAATAAGGCCACCAGACCGACCCCTCCTAGGTTACAGATCTTAAATGTCCAGCATCCAAATGCGCTTCCCCGATCCTTACGGATCAGAAACAAGCGCTGCCCTGTTCTGCTTCGTCTCTGCCTAAATACCTTCTTGGTTTCCATGACAGCCACAGTGGAATTCGTAGTTGGTGACTCAAGAAGTCATGGGATTCTTTGTAATTAGTTCTGTTTCCTCTCATCTCTTTTTTGTTTACAACATCTTAACTAGGATGGGGAAGGATTGAAGGAGTGACAACATCTTAACAGGTGGATTCAAGGCTAAAGTAGAGCTTGCTAGGATAAGATGAAGCCATTGAGGGCCACCACCCACACAGTCTGAGGTCTGGGGAAGCCTGGAAAACCACAGGGTGCTGCAAAGCCCTGTCTAGGAAGCAGCAGTGTGGACAGCAGAAGGCTGTCCGGGGAATCCACATCCCCCCAGCAAGTGCTTCTGGGCTGGGCAGCCAGTGTCACCTCACCAGACTGCAGGCCTCATGTGTGCGTGCGTGTGTGTGTGTGTGTGTGTGTGTGTGCACTGAGCACACACCTGCCCCGGACCCTCCTAGCCCAGCGTGAGCGTGAGCATGTCTGTGTGCCACCTGCCTTCCTCTGCCAGTCCTGCGACTCAGGCTGGAACATGTGGGGACAAGAGAGTGGGCTCTGGCTGAGGGCTCTGGGTGAAGGTCCTGCAGCATGTCTGACTTTCTGTCCTCTTCCTTTTCAGAGGGTGCTGGTCCAGGCGGCAGGCCCTGTGCCCAAGGGGGCCCTGATGCAGCCACTGACTCTCCCCAGAGTTCCACAGGTTCCTCAGCAGGTAAAGTCACCCCTTTGCCCAGGGCATGGTTGGCACTTGCCATCCTGACCACCTCGGAGGGCTGCAGCCGCTCCTTCCTCCTCCTCTCCCCTCCCCCTGGACTGAACCCAGGGCCTTTGCACTGAGCTCTACTCCCAGCCATTTTTAATTTACTTGTAAATTTTGAGGCAGGATATCACTAAGTTGCCAAAGCTGCACTCAAACTTGCAATCCTCCTGCCTCAGCCTCTCAGAATGCTGGGATGATAGGCGTATACCACTATGCCCACTTTGCGATTTCTTTTTGCTTGGTACATTCACTTGCTCAGAAAATTTTTCCGCTGCCAGTAGTTCTCCATGAGCCAAGATAGGTAGTGATCATTCATTCTTTCATTCATTCATTCATTCATTCATTCATTCATTCATTCATTCATTCATTCATAAACTCAGCCACATTTGGGGGGCAGGCAAGGACCCAGTCCTCGAGGAAGAAGGCACACAGGCCCTTGGGGGGGGGGGGGGGGCACACGCACAGACAGGTGCTGCCCTCTGGTGGTGTGTTGGCAGAGGAGACGGCTCTCCCGAGCCGCGTCTCTCAGAGCAGAGCTTGTGACTGTGGGCCCACAGCCGTGCAGATCAGCGCCCAGGCAGCCTGTGCTCCGTATCTTTTGATTTTGTGGTCACAGGGTCTCAAATGAAGCCACTGGACTCTGTCTTTGTAGCATAGAAGCAGCCATAATCCATTTGTAAGCCTGGGTATGTACCAGTAAAACTTTATTTATTAAAACACTCCATGAGGGGCCAGTTGTGGTAGCACCTACCTGTAATCCTGGCATTCTAGAGGCTGAGGCAGGAGGATTACTGTGAACTCAAGGCCAGCCTACACTATATAGTGAGACCCTGTCTTAAAAAAAGGGTCAGATTTGGCCCTTGGGACAGAATCTACAGACTTCTTGAGGTCGCTGGGTCACTAGTGGCACATTTCTGCCATAGGTTCATAGAGCCCCAAGAAATAAGCAGACACTCTGGGTGGGCGGGCTCAGCAGGGATCCTGTCATAGGGCTGGCCTCTGTTGAGGCCCACCCTAGGCACACAAGGGCCCAGCCAGTGGATGGCCAGGTATGGAGACACCCTGGTCCACTTAGCACTGTGGGAGGCTCTGGAAGGCTGACAGGAGGGCCGGAGCTTGAGCCCAGCTGAGTGACTAGCAAGACCTTGTCTTGAAATAAAAAATAAGCAAATGCTGCAGGTATAGCTCAGTGAGAAGTCTATGATCCTGGCTTCTATCGCCAGTATCAAAAGAAAAAAAAAAAAACAAAAAACCACCAGATTTACCAGAGGATGTCATCCAGAAGCGGCCCCCACCCAGGCAGGAGCTGGGCCTGGCCTGCCCCTTTCTGGGTGACTAGAGACCCCCAGCCCATGACCTGCATCTACCTGGTCCCCAGGCCACCACTCCCTCCCCTAGGGATGGCCACCTCCCCAGAGTTTCTTTGGGGATCATGTGATGGAGAAGTCTAGGTGGCAGTGCTGGGGTCCCCCAGGAGGTATGCTGTAGACAAAGGCTCAGAGGAAGGTCACCCTGGGGCCCTACAAACTCCTCCCCAAAATCAGAGGCCTGGGCCTCTGGCAGGATCCCCTGCATGAAAGGAACTAGAAGTCCCACTCCTGAGGTTCAGGGGCCCAGGACTGAACCAGGCCCTGGCTGTGGCCCCTTCCTTGGCTCCAGGACCCATGTGGTACCCAAGGCCAGGGCTCTGTCACAGCTCGGGCCCTGCTGCAGGAGTTGGCAGCCAGGGTCCTCCTCGTCTGTCCCCATGCATACAGATTAGAGGTGCTGGTCTCGTGTCCCTCAGGCTGGGCAGCAGAGACAAAAACAAGGCCTCAGGAAATGCAGTCAAGGGCTGGGGAGATAGCTCAGTAGAATAAGTGCTTGCCTGTCAAGCACAGGGTCCTGAGTTCAATCCCCGGTACCGCAGAAAAAAAATAAAAATAAAAAATAAAAGGAAATGCAGTCAGGCTGTGGGTTCTGGGGCTCTGTCACCTCCCAGGCCACTGGAATCTCCTCCTGCCCTGATGTCTCTCCTAGCATATAAAGAGCTGACCATAGGGGCACAGGATAACATGGTCCTCAGTGTCCACAGGAGGGAAGAAAAGATGCTTGGGGCCTGAGATGCTGGCCGAGAGGCAGTGATGGGAAATGCCAACTGTGACACGGAGCGTCCACATGATGTTTTTGCAGGTCCCGCCCGTGCAGCACGTGTACCCTGCACAGGTGCAGTACGTGGAAGGGGGCGACGCCGTCTATGCCAATGGAGCCATGTATGTGTCCTTCGGCTGCTGCCCTCTCCTGGCAGGGACACCTGCCATCTGTCCCTCATCCATCTCAACCCCTACTGGGACATCACCTCCCCTCAGAGGTTGTGGAAACCAAGCCACACATTTCAATGTCTAGAAAGTCTGTCTTAAAAATAATAAAAGAGAAAAGCTGGACATGGTGGCACAGTACTATCACACCAGCACTCTGGGAGGCTGAGGCAAGAGGATCACAAGTTCACGCCCAGCCTGGGCAATTTAGCGACTTTGCGAGCGCCTATCTCAAAACACAGGGGCTGGGCATGGAGCTCGGTGCGAAGGCTGTGGGCTCAATCTCTAGTCCAGAAAAAGGAAAGCATGCAACTTCTACAGCTGCATAAGATTCATAACCTGGAAGCTGTTGCCCTCAGTGCACTTTCATCTTTGTCTTTAGACTTTAGCTTTTTAGGCTGTTCACAAAGCCTGGTTTTTCCATTTTTCAAGGGCTTCTAGAATTTTCTGCCCCACTGGGCATGCTTGGGCAGAGAAGCCTGTCCATGGCAGCAGGCAGCTCGTTCTGTTCATTCTTCCTTTTCCTTTGGTTTACCAACTCCTTCCTCAGTGTGGGGACTACATTGTGACAGATGGAAAAGTGTCATTTCCCAGAGCCCAACAAGAAGTGTCCCCAAACACACACAAACATGGGTGCCTGCAGTGTAAAACTGGTGAAGCCCAAATGAGGCCTGTAGGCTGTCCCGCTCAAACCTGCCTAAGCACACCATGACTGTAACTCAGAGAGAAGGAAGCTACCACCCCATGCTGGGCCCCGACCTGCATGTGTCGGGAGGAGCCTACAGCCTGGGGCCTCAACATGGTGAGCCCTTCCTCCAGCTGCTAAAGGAGTGCCAGGACTGTGCATCTCTTGGGAGTCTACATATTAAGATGGCACCATGACATTTTTTAAAAAATAGTTTGTAGCTTTTTCCCTTCTGTTTTGCAGGGCTGGGTGGAGCCAAGCGTTCCCCACTGAGCCACCCCACCCCCCAGCCCTGGTTTTTGTTTTGAAAAAATCATAGCCTCTGCTAGCGCCCAGAGCCCTGTGGCCACCCAGTTTCTGGTAGTGGTGTTCAGTGTGACCCCGGGACATCAAAGGCAGGAACATGACGTTGGACGGTTTCACTAGTCACACGCATCTACACGCCTGCGTGCGTGTGCTGTATGTGCACATTTAGTTCTGTGCACTTCGCCCCTCATGCAGGTTCCTGGAACCACAACCACGAGACAGAACTAGCCTATCCCTACCAAGGAGCTCCTGCATGTAACCTACTTGATCCTTTGATTTGTTTGTCGTTTGCTTTGTTGGTTTTTTTGAGACAGGATCTCGGTATTTAGTTCAGGCTGGCCTTGAATTCATTATGTAGCCCAGGCTGGCCTCAAACTTGTTGTGATCCTCCTGCCTCAGCCTCCTGAGTGCTGGGTGACAGGTGTGAGCCACCATGCCTGGCCCACTTAGAATTTTTAAATGATCAGTTTTCCATTAATCTGCCTGGATCATGGGTCCATTCAGAGGCATTGGTTTTGAACATCATCTTGAATTTGACCTTCCTGTCCCATGCATGGGCAGCCCCACATCCTCGGCCTTGGGGACCCGTGGGTGGCACACACATTGGGTAGATCCCTTAGAAGCTCGACCAGGGCCTGTGGCAGGGCCAGGTTCCAGAATGACTCCTGTCTTCCTGCCAGACGAGCAGCCTACGCCTACAACGCCGAGCCGCAGATGTACGCCCCCAGCAGCGCAGCCTCTTACTTCGAGGCCCCCGGTGGCACCCAGGTGACAGTGGCAGCCTCATCCCCACCCTCGGTCCCTGCTCACAGTATGGTGGGCATCACCATGGATGTCACAGGGAACCCCATCGTGTCCAGCGCCGGGGCCTACCTCATCCACGGGATGGATGGCGCCAGGCACTCTCTGGCCCACACTGCCCGGTCCTCGCCAGCCACGGTAAGTGCAGGCCTGGAGCAGCAGGGGACACTCGCTAAACACAGTAGCCACAGCCTGATGGGGGCCGTCCTCCCAGCCGCAGAAGGGCTGAGGACCACAGGTGGGCGTGTGGGACTCTGACCCTCAGGCTGCTACCGGGAAGCACAGGAAGGCACCTGCGGGGCCCGAGCCCAAGCAAGCACCTCCAGTGGTCCCTGTCATCACCATCGCCACCATTGCCACCATCTACCCCTGCAGGCGGGCAGTGCCACCCACCCACAGGACGCAGCATGTACCCAGATGTCATGTTCTTCCAGAAGGCTCCCACTTTTAGCTCTGCCTTCCTCCGAGATTGTTACTGACCTGCTTTAAACCCAATTCTACTTTCAAAACTCGACTTACCACGTTCACTTTTATTTGGTTGTATTCTTAAAAGTGAACTTGGAGTGAAAATGACCTGTTGGGTGTACAAACTGTGAGCTGGAACGTACTTGTAGGTGCATGTCATTGTCCCCACAAGCAGGACACACAGGGCACCACCCTGCAAAGCCCCTCATGGGATTTCTGTGCGGCCAGCACCGCCCCACCCCGGCACGGTCCACGGGCAGCACTGATGTAGCCTCTGTCACTATGGCTTGATCTTTTGGGGTATCTCAGATACAAGGAATCAGAGTGGGGACCCTCTTGGAGTTGGCTGAGATTCTATCAAGTGTGGCTGAGTCTGCAGCTGTTTTCTGAGGGGTCACTGAGTGACTTTTGGTGGCACAACAATTTATGGAGCCACTTCTCGCTAAGGGGCATTGGAAGGGTTCTGGCTTGGGGCAGGCTGGAGAAGGCGCTCTCAGGACCACACAGTCACACGGGAAAGTGCTGGCCACGAGGCCTGCCTGTATCAGAAACCTCTCTCTCCATCTCTGCGTCTGTCTCTCTCTTGCTGTGGCGACATGCTCTGCTACGCAGTCCGGGCTGACTTCGCAGCCCACACTGGCCTGGATGTCAGCTGATCCTCTGCCTCCGCAGTGCTGGGGTGACAGCCTGCCTGCGCCACAGCCTTGCGCATACCATTGCCGTCCCCACGAGCACTGCAGCAGCGTTCCTGCTGCTGCACCTGTCCCAGCACCCGATGGGTCACGAGTTTTTGTTTTGTCCAGTAGGTGTGCGTATCCCTGGTTGTGGGTGTCATCTGCACTGTCGCACAGGGTGACGCTCAGCAGCCAGCTGCTGCTCTTGCCTTTGTTGTTATGCTGTAATGAAGTTGGTTCAGGTTGTTTGGTTGTTTTTTAACTGGGTCAGTTGTGTCCCTGTTGTTTGAGAATTCTTTTTTTCCCTCCTTTCCTAATGAGGGAAACATTTATTTAGCTCGCAGTTTTTGGAGGTTTCAATCCATAATCATCCAGCTCCGAGGCACCACCCAGTGTGGCCTGGTGAGGGGACAACAGTTTGTGGCGGAGGAAGATAGCAAAAGCAGCGAGGGCCGAGGGGAGGGGGAGAATTCTTTATATATCCCAGATGCAAGTCCCCTGCCGGATATATGTTCCTGTGTTTGTACCATGTGTTTGTATTCCTTAAAGAGTACCTTTTATGGAGAAAATATTTTTTAAAAATATTTTAAATTTTGTGCCCATTTGTGAATTCTTTTTCACCTCATTGTTGAAGCGCCTCCTTGCAGGGAGCTGGTGCCAGGACGTCACACCCCACCCACTGCCCCTCCCCCTGGCTTGAGCGCCTGGTGCTGAGTGTTTGTCTGTCCACCAGTCATGAGTATTTTCTCCTCTTGTCTTTGAAAAACTTGGTAGTTTTACATTTTTACCTTCAGATCTGCCTTTGTGTACAGTGTAAGTGATGTTTCTTAACATCATTAAACAACCAGTTGTCCACGTGTGGCTGCGTTGTGGGTGTCCTTCTGGCTCTGTTCCACTGGTCTATTGCCTGTTCTTCTGCCAAAAGAACCCTGTCTTAATCACTGCAGCTTTTTTGTTGTTTATTTTGGAATCAGAAACTGAACTCAGGACCTTGTGCTTCCCGGGCAGGCCTGCGCTGCTGAGCTATGTCCCCAGCCCTAACTACAGCTTTTTTTTTTTTTTTTAATTACTTATTTATTACATTTATTTATTGTGTGTGTGTGGCCAGCTCAGCCCACCAGGGGGCGGGGCTGGCTGGCATGTGGTGCTGGGGGATCGAACCGCGGTCCCTGTGCTTTGACAAGCTTGTTTCAAGTAGGTGCTTTAGACCACTGAGCCATCTCTCCAGCCCCTAACTACAGCTTTATAGTAAACCTTCAAATCAAATTAAGTCAAATGAGTCCCCCTAGTTTATTCTCCCTAGAATTACATTGGCCATTTATATAAATTTCAAGTGTCTATGTGAGTTTTAGGCCATTTTATCTATATCTACAGAACAAACCTCGCCCAGGGGTTTGATTAAGTTGCACTCAGTCTGTAGATGAGCTTGGAGAGAACCGACCTCTTACTACAGTTGCATCTCAAATCCATGAGCTTGGCATGTTGTCTCCATTTATTTATGTCATCTTTGATTTCATTGATCATGTTTAACATGGATCCTATACACATCTTGTTAGATTTGTGTCTAAGTATCACATGTTTTGGAACTATTGTAAATGGTGTTGATTTTTTGTTTGGGTACTTTTGGTTTCGGACTTTTGAGACAGCTTCACTATGTAGTTCACACTGGCTTGAGCTCATGGCAATCCCCCTGCCTCCGCCTCCTCAGTGCTGGGATTACAGGCATGGACTACCATGTCCGACAGTGTTATTTTTATTGATTGATTGATGGATTTTTTAAATGTATTTGGTACAGGGTCTCACTGTGCAGCTCGGACTCATAGTGATCCTTCTGTTTTCAGCCTCCCCAGTGCTGGGATTACAGGCGTGCACCACCATACCTGGTCTTGATGGCCAGCTCAGCCCGCCCGGGGACAGGACCAGGGTGGGCAAGCATGGGCTGCGGTGCCAGGGATCGAACCCTGGTCCCTGCACTCGCCTAAGCAGGCACTTAGTCTGCTGAGCTATCTTGCCAGCCATGTTATTTTTATTTATTTATTTTTATTTTTGAGGCAGGGTCTTGCTATGTAGATTGGGCTGGGCTTGAACTCACTTTGTAGCTCAGCCTGGCCTCAAACTCACAGCAATTTTCCTGCTTCAGCCTCCTCAGTGCTGGGATTACAGGTGTGCACCAACATGCCCAGCCCTGCCACCATGCCTGACCCTAATTTTTTTTTTTTTAATTTCAGTTTCCAAGTACTCATTACTAGGATATGAAAACACAGTTGATTTTTGGCTAGGGATGGTGGTGCATATCTATAACCCAGCACTGATGGAGGCTGAGGCAGGAGGATCACAAGTTTAAGCCAAGCCTGGGCAACCTGGTGACTTAAGATCTGGTCTCAAAATAAGAATTTCTCACATATGCCTAAAGACAGATGTGCTAGCCAGGCATGGTGGCGCATGCCTATAATCCCAGCACTTAGGAGACTGTGGCCGGAGGACTGCCATGAGGTCCAGGGCAGCTTGGACTAATGACTGTCTCAAAAAATCCAGCCAAACAAGGAAAAGGAAAAAAAACAAAACAAAACACTTCCACATCTGCTTCTTTGTGCCCCAGGTAAGAAAATCCTGAAGTTCCAAGGACAGTGGAGAGTGTCACCAGCCCAGTCCTCAGGGAACAGGGTTGGTTTGTTTGTTTTTAAATCCTAACACTGAGTTAGCCAGTGGCCTGAAGGTGAGGCTCAGCAGCAGCATGGGTGTAGCACGTGCGAGGTTCCACCCACAGGACCAAAAGCAGAAAGTGCCACTTTTAGGGGCCTGGCTGCTGGAGTCAGGCTATGGATGCACCCTGAGACGGCCACCTGAAGTCACCGGAATGGCCCTCTCCTGTGTCGCAGGGCCATGGCTTGTGGGCTTCTTGTTCTGATTTGGTTTTTGTTGGAGGGCATTTGTGTGTTTTGTTTCTCGAGGAGCTCTTGCTGGGTACTGCAGGCCAGTGGCCAGGCTCTCCTCCGTGCAGCCTTCCGGGCACTGGCTCTGGGCATGTGCTCAGCACCCGGCTGCAGCAGAGTTTCCAGCACACCAGGAAGCCTCTGGGTGTCCCCGGGGCCTTCTCGGGGTGTCCACAAGACCGGGATTATTTTTCAGGAAGACAATGGCTTTGCTGGTATCTTTATCAGCTAGCAGACTTCAAGTGGGCAAAAGAGCAACAAAGCAGAGACCAGATGGCGCAGCCCGGCATGCTGCCTGCAGTCTAGTGTGCAGGAGGCTGCGGCAGAAGGATCGCCACTGGTTCAAGGCCAGCCCGAACAACAGAGGGAGACCCTATCGCAAAAAAAAAAAAAAAAAAAAAAACAGAAAAAAGACAAAAGCCCCTTCCCACTATGGCCACAATTTTGGAAATACCATTTTTGAAGGAGGAGAGAGAAAAAGAGATAAGAGTTTCACTTAAAATGGTCCTCCACAAGGCACAGTGGCAATGGCTGCAATCCCAGCACTCTATAAGACGAGGGCAGGATTATTGCCACTCTGAACCAAGCCTGGGCAGTTTAGCAAGCCCCTATCTCAGAAATTTAAAAATAAGGTGCTGGGAATATAGTTCAGTGCGAAGGCCCTGGTATCAGTCCCTAGTATTGCCAAAAAAGAAAACAGAAAGAAAAAGTACGCTCTTGATAATGCACTACAAATGGCATTTTTATTAAATGTTAATCTTCACGCACAAGTCTCCTCCGCGTGGGGGTGGAAAGGGCTCGCCACCTGCCCCCCAACAGTGACTCTCTCCAGGAAGGCCCAGAACCTTGCTCAGATGGCAGACAGCACTCGCCATTGTCCCTTGCCTGGAAAGGTGTCAACTCTGAGTATTCTGCCTCGGGTGGCACTTAGCAAAGGCCTTCTTAAGTACAAATGAAGCAAGCTGACAAAGTATAGGAGATGACCAGTGACCACAGGCACATTTTCAAATCAAAAAGTGAGCTCTTTGTAGCACTTGCATGTGTCCCTAGAAAAGGAGGGTGTCCCGAGGACAACTGTCCTCCTGAGGTGAGCGCTGATCTTGAGGCTGTGAGCAGCTGCATTAAGAGCTGGACGATCTGCCAGCTCAGGGACCCGACACCTTCCCGTGATGTCATAAAAGTGTGCCCATCATGAAGGCTTCATTCCAACTGCAGGACAGACTAATATCGCCTTAGTTACGTGGACATGTTTTTATTGAGGTAAAATTCATATAACAGAAAATCTGCCCCTTTAACCATTCTGACCCTCACGACCGCTGGTGAGAAATGATTCCCCACTCTGATGGGGGATCCCTTGTCTGATGTGCTGCTTCCCGGACACTTACCTTTCAGCAATCTGATGATGATGTGCTTTGTTGAGAATTTTGAATGTGTGGGTTAATGTCTTTCATAAAATTTAGGAAGTTTTCAGTAATTATACTTTCAAATATACGTGTGTGTGTGTGCCTGTCTGTCTGTCCGTCTGTCCGTCTGTCCGTCTGTCCGTCTGTCCGTCTGTCTGTCTGTCTGTCTTTGAGACAGGGTCTTGCTACACAGTTCAGGCTGGCCTGGAGCTCACTTTGTAGCCCAGGCTGTTCTCAAGCTCACAACCATCCTCTTGCCCCAGCCTCCTGAGTGCTGAGGAGCAGACACGTGTCGCCGCACCTGGCCTGGCTCCTTTTTGTAATTTCTGTCTTTTTATTGGTATTCTGTATTTGGCAAGACAGGATAATCATGGTTTCTTTGAGTTCTTTGCACATAATTCCTTTAGCTGAGCATTTAAATAATTGATTTGAACTCTTTGGATTGTAAATCGATGTCTGATCTTCCTCAGGGATGGTCCTATTTTATTTCTCTTCTGTGTCTTTGTAGATCGTACTTCCTTGTTGGCACACCTCATAATTTCTTTTGAAAACTCCATATCTTAATATTATGATATAGCAGCCCTACATGTCAAACCCTTCCACCACCACCCCAGGATTTATTTGATTGGTTGATTGATGGATAGATTGATTGATTGATACAGGGTCTCATTACACAGCTACGCCTCGTAGTGATCCTCCTGCCTCAGCCTCCCCAGCACTAGGATATTTATTTATTTATTTATTTATTTATTTATTTATTTATTTATTTTTGGCAGAACCAGGGATTGAACTCAGGCCTTTACGCTTGCCAGGGAAGCGCTTATTCCACTGAGCCATCTCCCCAGCACCCCCAGCACTAGGAATATAGGCGTATGCCACCACACCCGGTTCTGGGACACAACATGTGGTACTGGGGATCGAATTCAGGACCTTGTGCTTGCCAGGCAGGCGCTTATACCACTGAGCTATCTCCGCAGCTCCAGGATTTATTTTTGCCACTTAGAGTTGTTGTCCATTTGTTTAATAACCTTTCAGAACCACTTTTATATGATCAGTCCTTGCCATTTGTGGCTCCTGAAGCCCCTATTCAGGGGTCAGCTAGTAAGCCAAAGCCCCCTGTGAACGCAAGCTTCACCTGCCTGCCTCTTGTCATCCTCGCCATTATTAAGGGTTCCTGTGGCTACTGTCTGCTTCCCCCGATGTCCCAGTTAGCACCAGGTTCTGCTGGGTTTCGCCCCTTCGTCCACTGCTTCTGTGAGGCTCGCCCATTCTCCATTTTCCCCAGCGGCTTAGGATTTTGATGTCACCTATCCCAGTCCGCCCACTAGTTTCTCCACATTCCACAGGCAGCTGACTAAAAGTGAGAAACAGCCAAGTTTGATCCCTGGTACAAAAATAAATACATAAATAAATAAATAAATAAATACAACCAATTGTTGGGTGGTGTCATGTCCAGTAAAAACACCCACAGCCAGCTGGGATGCATGGCCAGACATGCTGCTTCAGCTGTTGCTGTTTTCTGGTTTTTGAGACAGGGTCTCACTTGTAGCACAGGCTGGCCTGCATCTCGCACTGATCCTCCTGCCTCAGCCTCCTGTGTACCAGGGTGACAGCTGTGCACATGTTGGTGCCGCCTAGTCCTCATTTTAAAATGTTACTTTATGTTTATCTCTCATGGATTGATCACTGCTTTAAAAAATCTCTGCATTATTTTCCCCCTACAATTTCTAATGTGGGAGGTATTGGTAGACTTAGCTTGTAAAAAAGAAGGGAGGGCCTCACAAATGTTTCCTGGAAAGGAGTCCCGTGGCCCCCATGCTAACAGCATACTTTCTTCCTCTTCCCGGAAATGCCGAGCAGTCCCCTGGGGACAGCTGACTCCCAGGGCCACCATCTGCCCCCCAGGCAGCCACCGTGGGGGTGGGAGCAGCACTGAAGGTGGTAGAGCCACCCGCACCTGCCTGCCTCTAGGCCCAGAGCTCAGAGTGCCTGCCTTGGCACCAGCTGTGGCTGTCCTCTGTGAGCACAGTGTCCCGGGGCCAGGGGCGAGACAGTGGCCCTCACTGGGGCCCTATGTCGGCAGCACATGCTCTCCCCCCACCTGGCCCCCACCCCGGCTTTTTGCATGGCGTGGTTGAAGTCTGGCCTTTCCTGGGCCTTTCAGGAAGGATGGGTGTGTGCTAGGGCCTTCCCACGGCCAAGTCCAGGTAACACTTGATGTGTGCAGATGTGGTGACAGCAGTGCACAGCTGGCTTTCTCCTGTGCATAGTCCTGCTGGCCACCTGCCTCCTCTCCAAGCCCTTCCTCCAGGCAGCCCAGCTCCCACCGCACTCTTGGAGTGCCGTCTGTTCCACCCCTGTACTGCCGCACCCTCCCCCCAAGCCCATGCTCCATGCCTGGCGCCTTGAGCCTCGCTCGCATCTTCTGTAGCATTCAGCAGGGAGACCCTGGGCTCTGTGACACAGCAGGCTGGCCAGGACATCAGTGCCGCCAGCTGCACTTGGCTCCTACCACCTGATCCCAAGGCTGCAGAGAAGGGTGGCTGTGCGGCGGCCCAGCGGCAATGGCTCGCCTGGTCGTCTGCATCTGGTGTTGGGCAACTTCTCTGCTGCTGCTGCTGCTGCTGCTGCTGTCTGCACCATGCTCGCAACTGTACCCTGCACCCCTCTGCCTGTGTCATGCTTCCTTTTATAAGCGCTCAAATCATTATTTGGATATTAATAAAAACCATATCCTGGCTGTTGCTAACCATCTGATTTCCTTTTTTTTTTTTTTCCTCCTTCCACTTTGTTTTGTTCTGCACACATTTTCTTTAGCTTCAAATGGCGATTGAAAACCTCCAAAAAAGCGAAGGACTCACCCCACACAAAAGCAGTTTACTCAACAGCCATGTAAGTGCGAGTATGACCTGTGCTGTCCCTGCCCTGCTTGTAGCTGTCATGTACATTTTAAAATCGAACACAGCCAGGGGCGTGGCATGTACCTGCCACTGCAGCACCAGGGAGGCAGGAGGATCACAACTTCACATATGGTCTGGGCAACTTAGCAAGACCCTGTGTCACAGTAGAAAGGGCTTGTCCAGGGCACCAGATTATTTAATGTGTCCTAAAGACTTCACACGCAGGTTGGCGGTGCACCCCTTAATGCCAGCACTGTGAGAGGCTGAGGCAGGCAGGTTGAAAGTTCCAGCCCATCCTGGGCAATTTAGGATTGAGACCCTACCTCTAAAATAAACAAACAAATGAAAAAGGGCCAAGGACATAGCTCAGTGGGAAAGGCCTGGGTTCAATTCCTAGCATCATAAAAACAAACAAACAAAAAAGATTTACTACCCAACGGGTAAGATCCAGTGTAGTGTGGCTGAGGAGTTAGCTCAACGGCACAGTGCCTGCCTGGCCAACATGAGGTCCTGAGTTTGATTCCCAGTTCCTAAGAAGTCAACACAGTCCAATATCAGTAAAATAAGTGACAAAAGAGAAAAAGTGATATCAGATGAGAAATGTTGTACAGATCCCCAACGAATGTTCCTAGCATCAGCTTTTGAAAGGGACGGTCATTTGAGAGAAGTGGAGGTGGGCCCTCCACTGTGGGCCTCAAAGCAGAAACAGAAGACAAGGCCCTGCCTGCTGGCCGCGTGCTCCTACAGAGGGGCTGGTGCTGTGGTCAGGGCCACCCTGCTGGGCAGTGTCCCTGCTCTGGGCCAGTCCTAAGCTCAGGTCACCCTCCGAGGAGTCTGCAGAGTGACATCCAGCCTTGCTCAGACCAGCATCCGCTGCAGAACTAGCACACAGCCAGAGGTCAGGCAGGGACAAGAGGCAGGTGGGGTATAGAGCCCGGCTGGGCAGCAGGGTCCACAGACGGATGAGGCCGGGAGGCTGGCCGTTGGCTGCTGGGACACCCTGGCTCCAACGAATTCAGTGGGGAGGATGCCCGGGGCCGCGTCCTGCATGTGCTCGTTCAGGCGTGATTTCTCCAGCAGGTGAAATCTCCCAGCCTCCTCCTCACAGGCACCTGTGGTGGGGCTGTTTTCTTCATCAGGAGCCATGATCAAGACCTTAGGGCCTGGTGACTTAGTCAACACAGTGTGTCACACACGCCACTGTGAAATCACCCTGGATCTGACTGTGGCCACCCTGAGAGCCAGAGAGGGAGAGGAGAGGTGAAGGACAGGCCATGCACCGGTGACAGTTGCTCCTGGGGCTACCTGGGGCTGAGGTGGCACCCTAGAAGGGCACAGACATGGACTGCCCCCTGGGACTCCACAGGTCCAAGTCCCCGTCAGCAAGGACTGAGTTAACATCTCAGTCTGTGCCCTTCCATCCATTGTCCTGTCTTGGTCAAGGGCAGAACTGCCCTCTAAGGCCACAGCATCCTCCCAGGTGTGCTCCAGCCACCACATCTCTGCTGGGGTCATCTCGGCCTCCTCCGAGTCAACCCTGCTCAGCTTCGTCCCTCCTCCCACGCCTTGACATCTGAGGCAGGTCACAGCCCTCCTCTGTCCTTAGCACTCCAAGGCTCCATCTGCCTGGGGCCAAAGCCCAAGTTCTTTCTGCAGCCCGCAGGGCCCTGTGTGACATACCTGTCCCTCACTCCCCTTTCTCTGTCCCTCTGTGCCAGCCGCAAGGGCTCCTCTTGGTTCCTGCACCCCGCTTGTCCCCATGGTGCCCCAGGGCCTTTGCACAAGTTGTCCTCTGCCTAGAGTGCCACGTGGCTCCTTCGCACCTTGCTCATTCTGTGCTGTGACCTTCCTGGCTGACTAAAGCCACAGGGCTCCCTCCAGCGCCCCTGCCACCCTGGCACTCGCAGGCCCTTCCCAGGATGCATTTCCTCTTGGTGCTTAGCGCTGCCTTGAGGACACACGGCTGTGTAGGCTGCGTAGTAGGCGGAGCTCTCCCAGGAGAGACACCCACTTGGGGTTCTGAGGATGCGTAGAGGCGGGGACAAGGGACATGGCAGGCAGTACCAGTGTGTGCCTGTTGCTGTACGCCAGACTTCTGGGTGGAGGCACAGGATGGAGTCCCAGCTTCCACGGTGCTCTGCCCAGTGGGTGCTGATGCCTGGGGGACTGGTCACCTCAAGGACGGCTCTTAGCCTGCTCACTTCACACAGTCAGGCCCCTCACTTAGTCCGTCCCTGGCCTTGTGTCATAGAACACAGGGCTCCGCCTGCATCTACCTGGCATTCTTAGCTTCACTATGTGGCTCCATCCTGTGGCTCAGGAGATCCATCGGGTGTGCGCTCAGCCCATCAGTCATGACGACAGAGCCCAGAAGGCCTCCACCCTGTGTAGGTTTTTAACAGATTCAAGGAGGGATCTGAGAGTCAGGCCGGTTGTAGAAAGAACATGTATAGGAAAATGCTATTGGTAATGTGCTCAGGGTAGAAGTGCAGGGTACCCATGTGGCTTCTGCGCAGCCACGGAACAGCGCGAGAGCCAGGCCTCCAGGTTTCATCTGCCCTGGGGCTCTGACCTCCCTCGCCTCTCCCGCCCAGCTGCAGTGGCTGCTGGATAACTACGAGACGGCCGAGGGCGTGAGCCTCCCCAGGAGCTCCCTGTACAACCACTACCTGCGCCACTGCCAGGAGCACAAGCTGGACCCCGTGAACGCCGCCTCCTTCGGGAAGCTCATCCGCTCCGTGTTCATGGGGCTGCGCACACGGCGCCTGGGCACCAGGTGGGTGGTGCTGCCCCTCCCCACCAGGAGCTCTCGGGGCGTCCTCCCCTTCCCACTCCTCTTCTTCCGTTGGCACCCCCACACCTGACTAGGAACCCCGACTTCTTCCTCCCTCTGCCACTGCCGCCTCTCCCTGGCTGACAGCAGGGAAGCTGTGTGTGCTGTACACCATGCCCTTTCAGTGCCCCTCTGACCGGAAAAGAGCGGTATGGAAACCAGTGGCCCAGAGCACCTTCAGGTTCTTCGCTGCAGTGGCCGTGACCTGTAGCCATGAGGGTATCCAAGCCTCTGTGCACTCACAGTGGGTTCTCGGCTGCCTGAAGACAGGGTGGCTGTGGGACTGAGGGAGCAGAGTCCACGGGTCTCTGACACCCGTGGGTCCTTTACAGAGGATGTACTCACAGCACTAGGGGGAGAGGAGGTGGGGGGGCACACCTGCAAGGCCAGTGCTCTGGGAGGCTAAGGCCGGAGGATCACAAGCTTGAGCCCAGCCTGGACAACCTGGTAACTGAGCAAAATGCTGTCTCAAAATAAAAAATATCAAAGGTCTGGGGACATGGCTTAGTGCAAAGGACCCCAGGTTCAGTCTCTATTATCTACCACAAAAGCTGGAGGGCACGGCATGGGGAGGAGGGACAGGGACCCTGAGACTTAGGGTCACAGCCCTGCTGCCTGCGAGGCCTGCACCTTTAGTGCCAACTTGGGAATCAGGCTTATTCTGTTTTCCTGTGCTTTCTTTCCTTGGTTCCCAGCATGCATATGCCCATTCTAGAAAGCCGTGCCCCGCTTGTCCTTATTACCAGCCCTGGAGACATGGCTTTGTGGCCTGGCAGTGTGGTTGGCAGGCCCTTCCTGTGGAGCCCCTTGGGCTGTTTCTTTAATTAAATTATTCAAAACCCTTTGATCCTCTTTCTGCAATAAACTAAAGTAGTGCTCCTATACTCTGCCTTGGCAGAACATATTAGCATATACCAGCGGCTCAGGAAGAGTTAATAATCCCAGCACAGAGTGGTCAAAGCCAAGTTACACTAAAACAAGCGGGGACTCCAGTCAGGGGTGGTGGCATACACGTGTCATCCCAGCCCTCCAGGAGGAGGAGGAACCCAAGTTTAAGCCCAACCTGGGCCATCTGAAGGCATAGTGAGACCCCTCTCAAAATCCAAAGGGCTGGAGGTGTGGCTCAGGGCAAAGGCCCTTGCTTCTCCCAGCATGGCAAAATAAACACATGAGGGCCCCTCTGTGAGAGGCTCTTCGCAGAGCTTCCCCATGAACGTTTCTCACACTGTTCAAGAGACACCAAGCCAGATTGCCCAATAGGAAGGGGTGAGGAGGGGAAGGGGGCCCCCGGTTTATTACTCTGCCTGGCATGTGGTTCGCAGGGGCAACTCAAAGTACCATTACTACGGCATCCGTCTGAAGCCGGACTCCCCCCTGAACCGACTGCAGGAGGACACTCAGTACATGGCCATGCGGCAGCAGCCCCTGCACCAGAAGCCCAGGTGGGTGATGGCAAGGCCGCCAGGGTAAGGTCCTGAGCTGGAGGAAGGGTGATGGGCCTGCTGTCTCTCCTGGCCTGGGGACAAAGGCCTGGCATGGTGGCTCATGCTTGTCATCCCTGCACCAGGGAGGCTGAGGTAGGAGGATCGCTGTGAATTCAAGACCAGCCTGACCTCCATACTGAGACCTTGTCTCCAAAACACCAGAACGATGATGGTAACAGCATCACCGTCACCACGTTGAAGTCTTAGGGCTGGGGGCATGGCTCGGTGGTGAGCACTTGCCTTGCATGTGTGAGGCCAGGGTTCCATCCCTAGCACCAAGGGGGAAAAAATTGTACTTCATAGCAATTTTAGATTCACAGCAAAAGCTAGTGGGAAGTACAGCTCTCCCATGTCCCCACACACAGCTTTGTGATGGCCAGTGACACATGGCTACCCCCAGCGCCCACAGGCCACGCCAGGCCCGCCCTGGCTGGCTGTGCCCAGTGCTTCCCTGGCTCCTGGTAAGCCATGCAGTTGGAATCACTAAACACTGCAAGTGGCAGGAGAGGGAGTCCCAGGAGGGAGCCAGCAGCTCGGGAGGAAGAAGCTCCCTGCTGAGGTCATGCCCTTCTCTGACATTTCCATGCAGTGGCCACCAAAGGCCACTTTCTGGAATGTTCTCTGGCAGACTCCTTCTCTAAAGAGCCAGAGAGCAAATCCTTTGGCACTGCAGGCCTGACAGTCTCTGTGGTGATATCCCTCTGGGGCTGTGTCACAGAAGTAGTACAGGTGATACTGAACAGGTGGGCATGGCCACGTGCCAATAAAGCTTTATTTATAAAAACAACTAGCAGCACTGGCCCCCGGGCCATCATAGTTTACAGGTATGTGGATAAGCAGATGTCTCCTCCTGCAGTTTCTAGTGCCCTCCCATGGGCCATGGAACCGGCTCGTCTCTCATCCCGTGTGAGCACCTGAGAGCAGGGGCCTGTCAAAGTCTCCCCAAAGTGGCCCAGATGGCTACTCAGGAAACCCCCAACAAATCACAGAGTGACAGGGGGACCTCCAGGGCCCAGGAAGTGAGAAGGGGCTCCCTGCCCTCTTGTGCCTTGTTGTCCAGAGACTGTGTCACTTGTCACTCTGCACACCATTGGCCCTGGGCAAACACCTGTGACTTCATGTTGGGCTGCGTGTCATTTCTGGAGCAGTGTGCTTCTGTCACAGGGACAGGCTTGTGCCAGTACATTGGAAGCCACAGCCTGGCTCGCCCCCACCCTGGTGCCTCTCCTCCTCCAGGGAGGCGCTGCCCGGTGTCTGCACGGGGACAGACGCACCCCTGCACTTCCCAGTGCAGTCTGAGGTGGCTGCTCTCTGCAGCCCCGGAGGCAGACCACACCTCCCCACCTGATTGGCACAAAACAAATCAGACTCTCCTGGGGACTCACTGTGGGGAGACGTCTGTGATTCTGTGCAGAGAACTTCCTAGCCATCCTGACCATCTAGGATAGACTGTAGGGAAATGTACGCACACGGCGCAAGCACGCCTACAGGGAGGGCCCACACAAAGCGGGCTCCATCCACACGCTGGGCTGTTACTCAGCCATGAAAAGGAAGGACACTGTGACACTGCTGTAGCACACATGGGTCCCAAGCCTGTACTGCCCAGGGAATTAAGGCAGACGCAGAAGGGGACACATGGCAGGGTCCCGCTGTCAGATCCAGAGACAGGAGGAGGACGGTGCTGTCAGGCTGGGAGGGGACAGAGGTCAGTGTTTCCTGGGGATGGACATTGAGTTTGGGGAGATGAGAAAGTCCTGGAGGTGGGCAACGGGATGGCCACATAGCTGTATGATTGCGCTTAGCATTGCTGAGTTGGGTGCCAAAGAGCGGCTGTGATGGTATGCCTTGTCTGTGTGACTTCACCACACTTAAAAATGGGCCTCATAGTGGCACATGTCCCCGCCAGGTACCGGCCAGCCCAGAAGACAGACAGCCTTGGGGACAGCAGCTCCCACAGCAGCCTGCATAGCACACCTGAGCAGACCATGGCTACGCAGAGCCAGCACCACCAGCAGTATATCGGTGAGGGCGGACACATGCGGGACAGTGCCCTTGGGTGACACGTTCCAGTGTGAGAAAGACCTTGATGAATCTTGTTACTACAGTCCCAAGATTTTAGAATAATTAGCATGCACCCCTCAAATGTGCCGTGTAAAGTGACCATCAGAAAAATACATAGCCGGGCAAGGTGCACACCTGTCATGCAACCCTCTGGGAGGCTGAGGCAGGAAGATCGCAATTTGAAGGCCAAGCTGGGCAACTTAGCAAGACCCTGCCTCAAAAACAAACAAAAAAACTAGGTATGGAGCTCTGTTCAAAGGGGTGGGCTTCAACAGAAAGAAAACAGTGCATAGACCATCAGAAAAAATAGAGGCTGCAGTCTTTTAACACCCTCGCTCTCAGGAGCACAGCAGGGCCTGGCTCTGTCCCGGGCTTCGTCCTCCCTCCCTGATGCACTGAGCGTCCTCCCGGTGGCAGCAGCCTCTCACTGTTTCTGGGAGCTGCAAGATGAGGCCTGAGCTTAGCGCTGCCACTTGGGGCAACCAGGAAAGGCGCCGACATCAGCACCGGTATTCAGGTGGACACTGGGCGGTTTCCACAGCTGTGCTGTGTGGGGTTTTTGTTGTTGTTGTTTTTGCAATCCAGGACTTTCACACTGAGCCATGTCCCCAGCCCTTCCTTTATTTTCTATTTCCAGAAAGGGTCTCCTTAATTGCCCAAGCTAGGCTGGAACTTGCTCCCCTCCTGCCGCAACCTCCCAGGCTGCCGGGATTTCAGGCACCACCACCACACTCATCTTGTCCTGTGGTTTTGAGTCTGGGCAGAACCCTTAGGTTTGGAAGTTGAGTTTGGGGATAGATTGAGATGGTACCCAGGGTGCCCATAGCTTCAACACCCCATGTGGTGCTTATGTGAGTCAAGGTTCTGAGCCCTTGTTATGTCCCCAGGCTGTGCTCAGCTTGTGTCACATCCCTGGGAGGAGACAAAATTGTTTTCATTTTGACCCTGAGAAACACTGAAAGTTACAAAGGTCACTCAACTATGTGCAGAGCCAGGGTGCCAGCCCAGGACTATGGGCCTAAGAGTGTCCTTGGCACTTCCTGTGGCTGTGCACAGCCCCAGTTCCTAAGATCCCTGTGTCTGATGGCCCATGTCCTCCCCAGATGTGTCCCACGTGTTCCCAGAGTTCCCGGTGCCTGAGCTGGGCAGTGTGCTGCTGCAGGAGAGCGTCACACTGCGTGATGTCAAGGCCCTGCAGCTGGCGTACCGACGGCACTGCGAGGTGACCTCCCTGGCCCCGGGTGGCCTGGGTGGCAAAGAGGTGACAAGAGCCCCATGTCTACCACAGGGCTCCTCCCTCCGGGTGGCAGCGGCTTTGCTCACTGGGCCTCCCATCTCTCCTGTCACTCCCTGCCACATCCCATGTCTCGGCTCCCTGCCCAGGACACATGAGTGACAGACACACTGAAACCCACATAACATCGTGGACCCCATCACTTTTCCTCTAGGCCACCTTGGATGTCGTCACAAACCTCCAATTCCACTACATCGAGAAGTTGTGGCTGTCTTTCTGGAACGCCAAAACCACCTCCAGCGATGGCCCCGCCTCCCTCCCTGCCAGGTGACAGCCATCATCCCCAGATGGCTCAGAGTGGCCACAGCGCCATCTGCCTCTTGGGCTCCCAGACCTGCCTCCAGGGGACCCCACACTCTGCACAGCAGGGAGGGATGTGGGAGCTGGACATCCACAGGGGCAGCCGGGCCTGGCAAGACCCTGCCTCACTGGCAACCGGGGCCCACAGTGACGAGGAGCCGGAGGGACAGATGACACTGCCCCAGGACAAGCTCATCTCGCTGTGCAAGTGCACACCCATCCTCAAGTGGATGCGGAGCTGCGACCACATCCTGTACCAGGCGCTCGTAGAGATACTCATCCCAGATGTGCTGCGCCCAGTGCCCAGTGAGTGACCACCTACCTGGTCTCTGTCACTCCTGTCCCTTCCCACTGGCCCCCAGATGTCAGTCACCTGACCCAAGGCAGCAGGCAGTACACATGACCCTGTGAGCTCTACCCAGAGCAGGCCAGGGCAGCCTTAGCTGAGAGCCACCTGGGGCAGCTGCCACCCTTGTCCCAAAGACGTACCAGCACCGCTGTGCTTCAGGTCTCTGCAAATGCGGGGGGAGGGGGTCATTTCCTGTGTGTCAGAGGAGTGGCCATGGCTGTGGCTCCTGTAAAAATGAGGGCCACCCTTTAACCCCTGCCAAATCGTCCACCATGAACTCCTGGGGGCACTCACACTGTGCCTCTGTGCCCCTGATGTGCCCATGGCACCCTGGGGATAGAGTCAGAGGGACAGACCCAGAGGACCACAGGCACCACGACACGTGGCCAGCCCATGCCCTGCAGTCTCCCAGAGCTATGCCCAGGGCCAGGCCACACTCCTGCTCTCCTGAGAGGACAGGAAGCTGCAGAAACTTCATATGGAAACTGAGGCTTGGGTCTTTAATTACTGGGCAGCTCTTAGTCTGTCTTAATGATCTGCTGCAGCCAGACATGACAGCCAACATCTGTCATCCCAGCACTCTGGAAGGCTGAGGCGAGAGGGCCACAAGTGCCTGCTCAGCCTGGGCAACTGAGCAACCTGGTGAGAGCCAGCTCAGAATAAAAGAGCTCAGTGCAGAGGCCCTGGGCTCAATCCTCCGTAGCAAACAAACAAAGCCAAGCTGCTGCTTTTTCCAGAAAATAGAAACCCCAGATCCATTGTCTCTTTTGGCCTCAGCTGCTTGGAAACTGGCCAGTGTAGCCATCAGCCCTGGATGGGGATCTGAGTTTAGAGCCCATATATTTTTTCTTTTTCTTTTTCAGTTTCCTTATGTTTCTTATCTCAGAATAGATTTGAGAACTGCTAGAACATTTATTGTATGCATGCGTGCATTGGGGTCTCCCTGGGTGAGACTCTCTATGGCAAACAGCAGTGACCAGAGGCCATGTGTGCTGCATCCCTTGCCCCTTCAGGCTGCTCCATGTCCCTTCCCTCCACTGTGCCTACGTCACCCCTCACTGCTGCACTCACTGCTGTGTCCCCAGGTACCCTGACGCAGGCCATCCGCAACTTTGCCAAGAGCTTGGAAGGCTGGCTGACCAACGCCATGAGCGACTTCCCACAGCAGGTCATCCAGACCAAGGTGACAAACAGAGGACGTGGCCCGTGCCCTGGGGATTCTCAGGCTCTGCATGCTGTGCAGGGCCAGTCTGGAGTGGCCAAGAGGAAGAGGGACAAGATGACCACAGTGCCCTCGTGTCACAAGAGTGACAGCTGGCAGCAGGGGAATGGCAGGTGTCACCACATATCATCTACTGGGGCCAATTTGGGACAGATGTTTCCGTGGCCATCTCCGGAGGGCCACTTAGTCTCCTTGCCCTCAGCCACAAATCACAGTTTAAAATGTAGAGAGTCGGCCTGCTGTGAAAACAAGTCCCTGGCATTCTTTCTGATGAATCTTAAGTGGCTTTTGGATGACTGGGCACTATGGTGAACACCTGCAATTCTAGCTACCCTAGCTTCCAGGCTGAGGCAGGAAGGTCTTGATTTGGGCAACTAAGCAAGGCTATCTCAAAATAAAAATGAAAAAAGCCTGGGCTGCATCTCAGTAGTGAGGACTTGCTCAGCATTTGGGGGCTTGGGTTCCACCCTTGTGTGTTTTTTTTTGTTTGTTTGTTTTTGTTTTTGTGGGACTGGGGATTGAACTCAGGCCCTTGCGCTTGCCAGGGAAGCACTTATTCTACTGAGCCATCTCCCTGGCCCCTTGGGTTCCACCCTTAGCACTGCACCAAAAAACTGTTGATGATGTCAAGGGCCAGGCCGAAGCGTCCGCTCCATCAGGCACACCTGGGGCTTGTGTGCAAGAGTCACCTAGGCTGGCGTGGCAAATTCAGACTCCCAAGACACGCCCCAAGCGTGGGCCAGCAGTACACAGCCTGTGGAGGTGGGATGAGACTACCTCGTTGGGACTCTGGGTGCCACAGGAGGCGCCAGCAGGCCTGCTGTGTTCCAGCTGTGGTCACCGCAGACCATTGGGGGGGGCTGTTCCTTGTCACACCATTACTGGGGAGGGGGACGTGTTCTCCATCAGCCCCAGCTGGGCTGACCACGCCCCTTCTGTGGCAGGTGGGCGTGGTCAGCGCCTTCGCTCAGACCCTGCGGCGCTACACTTCTCTCAACCACCTGGCGCAGGCTGCTCGCGCTGTGCTGCAGAATGCCTCCCAGATCAGCCAGATGCTCAGCGACCTCAACCGCGTGGACTTTGCTAACGTGCAGGTGACTCCACCTGTGCCAGCATGCAGCTTCCCGCCTGCCCGAAGCCGCAGCAGAGCTCAGGACCCTTTGGTGCCTGGAGCTCAGCTTCCTGGATTTCAGCAGCATATCTGTGGCATTGGCCGGGTCACAAGCTCCAAGGCTGACCTCATATGCCTCCGAGCCCAGCCATTTAGGAAATGAACAGAAGCTGAGCACATCATTGCATGCCTGTTATCCCGGCTCTCTGGGAGGCTGCAGCAGGACGATTGAAAGTTTGAGCAGGCCCTGGGCAATTTAGTGACTTAGTGATAGCCTGTTTCCAAATAAAATAAAAAGGCTTGGAAGTGTAGCTGCGTAGTGAGCACTTGGCTAGCATGTGCAAGGCCTTGCTGTCTTCAGCATGCCAAAGTGATAATAAAATGAATATACATATACAGGGAGAAGAGAGACCACTTTTAAACAAAACAGTAGTGATGCAGCACAAGCTTTGACCCAGAAAGGACTCCTGTGCATCCCCAGAAGCAGGTCAGGCTCTCTCTGGGGCTATGCCATGTGCTCAGCTTACAGTTGTCAGCAGCAGAGGTCAGCGGAGCTTAGGCTAGGGGAGAAGTGGCTCGGTGCTGCAGTGTGTTCTTAGCATGTGTGGGGCCCTGGGCGCCACCCCATGCACACCTGTAATCCAGCTGCTTATGAGGCTGAGGCAGGAGAATCAATGGTTCAAAGCCAACCTACCAACTTACTGAGATCCCGTTCAAAATAAAAAGAGCTCGGATGCTACTCAGTGGTGGGTACTTGTCCAGCATGCATGTGGCCCTGGGATCCATCCCCAGAACCAAAAGCCATTTTTTAAAAAACTGGCGTGCAACCCCAGCCACCGTCAGCACTGCCCTGCCTCCCCCGCAGGAGCAGGCCTCGTGGGTGTGCCAGTGCGAAGAGAGTGTGGTACAGCGGCTGGAGCAGGACTTCAAGGTGACCCTGCAGCAGCAGAGCTCGCTGGAGCAGTGGGCTCGCTGGCTGGATGGTGTGGTCAGCCAAGTGCTCAAGCAGCACGCGGGCAGCCCCAGCTTCCCCAAGGCTGCGCGACAGTTCCTGCTCAAGTGGTCGTTCTACAGGTGAGCCCACCTGGGCCACAGTGGGTCACCAAGGCCCCCTCCTCTCAGCCCCCCAGCTACTAACAGAAATGTGACCAGTGTCCTGAAGGCCTGGAATATTCCTCACCTGGCTCTCATCAAAACCAGCCGGCCCCACTGCAGGGTGGCTCATTGGGGGGCACTTGCCTAGCATGCCCAGGCTGTGGGTTCCATCCCCAGCACCACGAAGACCAAGATCTTTGCTGAGCCCTCTACTGGATTCCCAGTTCCTTCTCATACTCCTCCCTGGTTCTTCCGCTGCCGGGAACATCTTTTCCCCAGGCCAACATTAGACCCACCCTGCCCCAGACCTCTCCAAATCACCTTCCTCTGCCCTGCCCCTCCTGTCCCATCTGTGTCACACCCTTGGGGGGCCTCCTGCTGGCAGAGTTCCCAGAAGGCTGTGGGTCTAAGGCTGCTCTGGCTTCTGGAGTCTCAAGCCGAGGTCCCACAGCCAGGCCGAGGCCCGTGATCTAGCCTGAGCATCCCTCTCTGTCACTTATCCCAGCTCCATGGTGATCCGAGACCTGACCCTGCGCAGTGCCGCCAGCTTCGGCTCCTTCCACCTCATCCGCCTGCTCTATGACGAGTACATGTTCTACCTGGTGGAGCACCGTGTGGCCGAGGCCACTGGGGAGACGCCCATTGCTGTCATGGGGGAGGTGAGGCTGCCCATCCGCAGGTGTCCTGTCTATCGCCAACCAGTACTGAAACATTCTGACCCTCAAGAAGAGGCCCCACCCTATGGGAAGTCACTTCACATCTGCCCTGCCAGCCCTACACCTACAGGGCCACTTCCTGTCTCTGGAATCACCTGGCCTGGGCGTTTCCTGTCCGTGGGGTCCATGCTGTGTGTGCTGTGTCTGGGGTCTCTCAGCCAGCACGGTGTTCTCAAGGTCCGGCCACACTGGGGGGTGTCACAGCCTCACTCCTTTCCTGAGTGATGTCCCAGCATGTCGTGGACCTTGCTGTCTCATTAAGTTGCTCAGCTTAGGCTGGAACTTGCCTCAGGGTCCCAGAAGGTTGGGATCCCAGGCATGTGCCTCTGCCTCTGGTTCTCCGTACACAGAGGTCCACATCCTGATGCCAGTGACCAACCCACACCTGTGGGAAGCCTGGGGAGGATGTTTGGGTCCTGGGTCCCAGACTGCAGCCACCCGGCCCAATGGTCCTCAGGCCACCAGCTGGAAGCCCAGCGTGTTTCCCACCCAGGCCCCAGTGGCTGAGCAGTCAGGACATCTGCAGGAGCTCCCGGGTGCCAGGGAGGCCAGCACCACTTGCCCTGGCAGAAGCTAAGCCCAGAGAGAACCAGAAGTGGGTTTTGGCTGTCACTGAGCTGTGCCTCCCAGGCCTATAGACTTGCTCTCACCCCTCATGGGCCCTGACTCTGGATTTCTTTTGCAGTTCAGTGACCTCACCTCCCTGTCGCTGACGCTCCTTGACAAAGGTGTGTACCTCTTGGCCCCAGGTCACCAACGCAGGTGGAATTAGGGCAGCCTCTGGGTGAGATGGGGACCCAGGAGAGCCACTGTGCAAACAGCAGGTGGTGGCTGGGAAGTAGCCAGGTCCCTGTAACGACTGACAGAGACCTGAGTCCTCCTGCAACCACCTCTGTGTCCCAGGGACCCCAGAGGCCAGCTCATCCTGGGAATGTGACACAGGCCACCCACTACTGATCCAGGCAGTCACAGTCCCAAAGTTGCCCTTGGCGATGCCCAGTGTAGGGCGCTGTGGGTAGTGGGGCAGGTTTCACGGGGGCCACATGTCCCCAGTGCCACGGCACCTGTCTGATCAGGCTTTCCTCTGCCCTCTCCCTACACAGATGACACTGGCAATGAGCAGAGCGCTGAGAACTCCCACAGCCTGGGGGAGCCCCTGGTGAAACGTGAGCGCAGTGACTCAGGCCACCACCTGCATGGTGGCATCTAGCACCAGCCCTGGGCGCCTTCCAGACTCCAGGTCCCAGAAGATATCACCCAGTCATCCTGGGAACCTGGACTTCCAGGCCCCACCACACTTGTGCCTCTCAGACAACTTGATGTTTACTCTGACTTGGGCCCTGGGGTGGCGCACTCAGGACTGATGGGAGAAAAACAGTTCTTGACGCTGCCAAAGTTGTGGTGAAGCCCCTGCCCCCAGTTCCAGGGATGCCCCCTGCCGCAGTGTGAGCTTCACACCATGTCCCCATCAGAGCTGGAGGGGCTGTGTGGAGAGCCGGTCCCCACCATGGACTGCAGCTTCTCTAGTAGTTTTCACCACGATGACAAGCAACAGCCTATCCCCGCCTGGTTCGGCACTAGTAGGGGGCACAGAGCCCCAGCCCCCCAGGTGCCCTTGGGAACAGAGTCCCCAGTGCTTCTGGGCAGGAGGACCCTATCCCAGTGTGTGCCTTGTGGCCTTTGGTGGCCAGATGGTCCCAGGCATCCTGCCCTATGCAGCACCATCTCCAAACGACAGAGCCACAGCCTGAGAAAGAACAAGCCATAGAAATGGGTCTGCTCGTGTCCTTAAAAACTCACAACAGAAAGTTTGATCTGAAATAGAAAGCACCCAGGGTCACAGCATCCAGCCAGGCTGTGGGAGCCACTCCTCTGTGTTCTGTGTCCCCTCCTGGAGTCTTCCAAGTAGCTCCTTCAAAGTGGAAACTCTGGGGACAGATGGCACCCAAGGACTGGCACAGCCCTGAACTCAAGACTGTCAGGGCTTTGTCCCTGAACCCTGCGCAGAGACCACACAGAAAGTGCTGTCTAGGGAGGTGCCATGCATCCTCTCACTGGAAAATGTTTATGCCAATAGTTTTGTGCTCTACGTGTTCTTAGAAGGTTCTATATGAATGTGTATCTCACACACTCGGTCTCCAATGTTTTGTTCTCCTTGCACAGCGGGCGCTACCGTCAGTCCCTGTGGTGTGGGGGGAAAGGTGCGCCCATGCCGAGGACACCAGGCCCGTGGTCATCCGTGTTGGTCTGGTCTTCTGTTGAAGACTTAGGTGGACTCAAGCAGGAGGAATGTTGTTCGGATGGCTGAGGATTTAGCTCAGCAGCACAGTGCCTGCTTGGCAAGCACAGGGTTGTGAGTGGATTCCTGGTGTGGAGTGGGGGTCGCCTCCTCTCCTGGGGCACATTCATGTTCACAGCGATGCGCTGCTATGGGCGTCTGCCCATGTGCAGAGCCGATGCAGACCGCATTTCCACCATGCCACCATGTGCTCTGCCGCATGACAGAAGCACCGTGTGCTCCCAGGTCCACCGCCCTTTCTCTCTTCCTCCCTCCCTCCCTCCTTTCCTACCTTCCTCTCTCTCTCCCTCTCTAGTTGTTGAGACAGGGTCACATTTTGTAGTCCAGGCTGGCCTCAAACTCAAAATGATTCTCCTGCCTCAGCCTCCTGAGTGCCCAACACCATTTTTTTTTTTTTTAAGATGGTTTCTTGATAAGTTACTAAGGTTGCCAGGCTGTAGTCAAACTTGTGATCCTCCTGCCTCAGCCTCCCAGCTCCATTCTTGTTTCTTGTAACAACAAGCTTGTGGAATATGCCCATTTTGGTGGTCTTTGTTCACACTCCAGGTCCAGCCCACACACAATGCCCCCAAGGGTACAACCATGTCCTGCTGTGGGAATAAGAGCACGCCGCCAGCACCCAAACAGCTGGGAATGAGCCTCTGAGCTTGGGCCTTCCGATGGCTCCAACTGAGCTTCCTTAACTAGGGGCCTGGGAGGCAGGGGAGCCACACTGGGCCAGGAGGCAGTGCTGACTGCCCAGGAATGGTGGGATAACTAGATGTGAGAGCCCCTGCTGAGGCCGGGTGGTTCTTAGGCTTACACAGGGGATCCGGGGGGTCCTTCAAGGATCAGCCCAAGTATGTCCATGGTGTTCTATCTGCAGGGCCCGCTTGGTTGAGCGGGGCACTCCTGGGGACAGAAAGAGGCCACAGCCTGGAAGGCCCTGGACAAAGCCGCCACTTGGATGCCAGCTCAGTGGCCTGCACTCCCTGACACCAGCCTTGGGCTGGCCCAGGGTCCCAGAGTTTGTGGGTGATACTAAAATGGCCCTCGGTTCCCTGGGGTCTCCAGACTCCATGTGTATTTTGCATGGAAAAATTCTCTTGAAATTCTCTAGGATCTTAGTTTAGATTTATTTAGTTTAGATTTGTTCTCTGCTGTCTTGCAGCACTAGGGATGGAACCTGGGGCCTTCTCATCTGGCTGTATCCTCCGCCCTTCTGATTTTCCATTTCAAGCCAGGGTCTTGCTAAGTTATGCAGGCTGGGCTCATCTTGAAGGTCTCAATTTTTGAATAAAACTTGAGTTTACACCACAGGCCTCCAAATTGTGTGGCCAGTCCTGAAGGGATCCCAGGACCGCACTGCAGCGCAACTCTGTGCCAACTCTTGCTGGGCACTGGGGGACAGATGGGAACCCATGGGTGCCACCAGCCTGAGGCCCCGTCTGCTCTGGGTTCCTCCCCAAGTCAGGGAAGCGCCAGGGCCTCCAGCAGTCCACAGGCTGTCAGGGTCCTGCATGGCCATCATGGCCCTTGGTTCCATCAAGAGCTCTGGGTGAGCTCCGATCCCAGCTGTCCTTGAAAAAGTCACTGCTGCCAGTTCCCCATTGGGACAAAAGATGACCCAGTGCTCCTTGCGAGAACTCTGGGTATCCATGGAAACCAAATAGCTTTCTCCCCTGCACACCAGGGACACTGGGGCCAGGCATGGGGGGGGAGCATCCCGGGCACTGCAGGGTGCTAAGCAGGGTTCCTGGTCTCCACCTGCTCCATGTTGACAGCATCCCCTATCATGATGGCCACCAATGTCCCTAGGCATGGCCCAGGGTCCTATGTGGCCAATGAAGATGAACACAGTGTCTGCAGCCCAAGTGACATCTCACACCAGTGGCTGGACACAGAGGTTCACCTGCGTTACAAATATTTGCTGGATAAGTCAACCAAATTTGGGGAGAGGGGTGTCCCCGTAAGTGCTCTGCCCTGCTGTCCTGTCACATGCTGTCTCCTAATCCCCAAGCACAAGCTGAAGACTTTTTTTAACAAGTACCTGGGATAGAACCCAGCTACACTAAGCTCCATCCCCACCCCTTCTTACTAGAATTTGAGTCAGGGTCTCAGTAAGTTGCTAAGTTGCCCAGGCCTGGCTCAAACGTGAGATCCTCCCACCTTGGCTCTCACGTCACCATGCCTTGGCTAGAGGATCTCACGTCACCACACCTTGGCTGCCTGACAAGCGCAAGGTCCCAAGTTCAATACCTGGCACCAAAAAAAAAAAAAAAACCTGGCTAGAACCAGAGGGGTACGGGGACTGGCCATGTCATCCAGAGGCGGCGTGTGCCTGGCAGCTGGTGGCCAATAGATTTGGTGGGGACTGTCCTGCTCAGAGTAGCAGGCAGCTGTTACTGCCCCGCCCCCCACTGCCTCCTGAAGGGTCGGGGCAAAGCCTCTGAGCTCTGTTAAATCTAAAGAGGGAGGGGTGGCCGGGGAGATGGCTCAGTAGAATAAGCGCTTGCCTGGCAAGTGCAAGGGCCTGAGTTCAATCCCCAGTCCGCAAAAAAAATAAAAATAAAAATAAAAATAAAAAAATTCTAAAGCGGGAAATGCGTCCTGGGTGGGAGGGTGGGTAGTGTGTGTGGGGGAGGGGTGGATTCATCCTGTCTTTGCCGCCCCCCAGTGGCCGCTCTGTGACACAACTGCTGCTTTCCTCGGGGATAAGAATTGGTTTGCTTCGTTTCTATGGGGAAAGCACTACAGAGAACAGCTAGGCTCTTCCTTACCCCGCAAGTAGCCCTGTCTACACACTCAGCACTTCCCCACCAGGCAGCTCACTACTGCCAAGTGGACGAGTCACCTATTTAACCCCGTGATCGAGGCTGACCCTTGACCCCAGCTAGGGTGGCCCCAGAAAGGCCGCACCTCATGTCTGTGTAATCCCTACCACAAAGGGGTAGCCTGAAATTATGAGTGTACACCAAACAAACTCATGGAACTGTTTGCATTACTTTTGTTTTGAGGTAAGGTCTACGTTGTCTAGGATGGCCCCAGCCTCCCAAATAACTGGGACCACTGAGGCACACCACCATGCCTGACTCCAGGGACCCCCTTTTTCACTTCCAAGACAGCTCCTCCTCATTGTCTTTATGTGGTAGAAGGAAAAGCAAGGTATCTTTCTGGGGCTTTTTTTCTGGCCCTGTCCTAGGGCTGAACCTAGGACCTTAACACAGAACTAACCCTGCAGACCTTTTAAATTTTGTTTATTGAGATCTCAAGACACTAAATTGCCCTGGCTAGACTCCAACTTGCATTTGTCCTGCCTCAGTCTCCTCTATAAAGGGTTCTTCTCCCACATCTGTTACTTTCCTCTCATTGCTGGGACAAAACACTGGACACCCAAAATTACAGGAGAAAGAAAGGTTTATTTGGCTCCCAGTTTGCGGAAGTTTTCAGTCCACACTCGCCTGGCTCCAACGCAGAGTGGCACAGCGCAGAGGGCAGCAGAGCCTGATGATGCAAAACAGCAAAAAGCAAAGGGGGGAACAGCAGCACTGGGCAAGCCCCTCTCCTTCCTTACACTGCATCAGGCTATCTGCCGCAGGGTAGGCATATATATTAGCCAGGGTTTGACTTAGAGGAACCGATATAAGAAACAGATATTAACACAATATGTACAATGCATAAGGAATTACAAGGTTGGCTTACAACAGGCCATCTGCATAAGCTCACTGCAGTGCTCCGTGCAAGTCAGCCAACGGGTCTGCGAAGGATCCAGGCCAGAGGCCAAAGAGTGTGCGCTGCAATGAAGTCCAAGCCCAATGCAAAGACGAAGTGAAATGTAGACCCCTTCCTCAGCCTCTTTATATGGTCTCACCGGCGTGCTGAGTCACTCTGGGGCGGCCCAGTGCAATCTAGGGTGGAACCAATCACACTCCAGGGCAGGGGGGGGACTTCCCTGCCCTGGGGGCCCCCAACCCACGTGGTCTTCCAGCCAAGTTGACACAATGTATCAACTACTACATTGTAGCAGGCACCCGCAGTCCCAGCTTTCGATCATGAATTATTCACTACCTGCAGAAGCCTGTCCCATGACTGCAAGAGACTTTAGTGGGGGACACCTAGACACCAACCATAACATCCCATGACCTCCAGGCCACAGCAGCCAGCCAGGTACTAGGCGTCTTCCTTCCTCTCCCTCCGGAATTTCTTCTGACCAGGCTCTAAAACAGAAGCTGAGGATTCTGGGCGATTAGTCACCAACTGAGGGCCCACCATGAGGGCAGAGGGCTAGCTACAAGGTATCTGTCCACGCAAAGACTCCATTAATAAAGTGAGGTGGGTGAGTCCTGTGGACCACACCTTCTCCTTTGCGCAGAAAACATCAGGACCATATGGCCCCGTCCGGGTTTGGGGCTTTCGGTGTGAGGCATACATCTCTAACCTTGGTCTAAAGCAGCTGGCAGTTCTACAAGACCAGTCGCACACTGAATATTTGTAAATTTAGCTTTATTGAAATTTTCAAAAAAATGAATTCCCAGATTTAAGGTATAAGTGACAGAAGTTTATACATTTCAGGTGTACAACTTGATGTCTTTGATAGGTTCTGGCCCTACTATGAATTGTTAGTCATTATGGTGGTCATCTAATATGGCTGATGCCCTTAGAACAAAGGACCACCTCTCCCCTCCTTCTCCAACTCAGCCCAGGACATACTTTCAGTCTAGTCCAGAGAATTTATTTTCCCTAAATTCTCTCCATCTCCTCAAAGAATATAAAGCCCCTTTCTCCTTTTCCTTCTGCCTATTTCTCTGTGTGCCGAGAACCTATCATTCTTGACACACGTATACACTGTGATATTATCTCAAGCTCACTAATCTATCCATCACCACAAAATTTTCTTCTTAATGGCACTGGAGAGCAAACCCAGGGCCTTCAAATCCATCCACATCCTGACCTCTGTGCTGCCAGCTCGCCCTGCCCAGGACCTTTTCACTTGCTGCTCCACCTAGAATGCTTCTCCTGCAGGCCTTCTACTAAAATGTTACCTTCACTATGGCAGAGGGGACTTCCTGACCAGCCATCTAAAGTCTCCTCTCTCTGCCATACTGTTTTGCTTTTTTTGCTGCCCTTCTTCAATGATTCTGCTTGTCCATTGTCATTCTCCCAAGAAGGATATAAGGCTACAAGGCTACAAGGCAGAGTCTGTAGGTCTTGCTGCCCTAACCTGTAGAAGACTGCCTGGTGTGGAGCAAGGGCTGGGGGTACACACTGCTGCATCAGAAGTCCCCAAAACCAAGTGTCACTTTACACACAGGAAAGGCTGGGTTAGGCAACACGTTCTAGGCTCCCAGCTCTCAGGCAATCCATGGTGTCTGTGTCAGGAACAGCCGAAGTTAGCTGGGCACTTGCTGCTCAAGGTTTAGGCTTCCTCAATGTGGCAGCTTCAGGGTCCCTGTCATGGTGGCTAGGAGCCTTAAAAACTCTCCTAGGCCAGCTGTCTCAAAATAGCATATGAAGAAATGGCTAGAGATGTAGCTCAGTGCACAGGCCCTGGGTTTCAGCCTGCATACTGGAAAAAGAAAGTTTCAGCAGGCCGAGCTGCACACTGTCCCTGCTATGACCTAGCATGGTACATTCCAAAGCGACATTTCCACTGTGTGATGTGACAAACCACCCACGCCAGAGAGAAGAAAACAGAGACCTCAGTTCCTGATAGGAACGAGGCCAAGGAACTTGAGACTCATTTTACAACCAGCCCAATAGACAACAACCACTGCTTTCTGGAGTGAATAAATCAGTGTTGAGTGAATTAACCTGTGAGGACACAGCCAAAGACAGCCAGGCCTGTGGGCAGGCGCTACCAACCATCACCACTGTCACCACAGAGAGCTAGATAGGGGAGGTAAGGAAAATTTGCCAGCTTGTTAGCTGACAGGCTGCATGTCTCTCATGTCCCTTGAAAAGCCACAGACTATATTTAGTGAGTGATGACAAATTGCTGGGAGTTTCCTCAAGCGTGGGCTGGAGGTGGTGTGTGATATGACTTTAGGCCGCATGCTGACATGGCATCAAATGACAACAAATCACACGGGTTCCAGTCATCCTGATTTCAATTCTCCTCACTCAAGGAGAAAGTTTTTTGGGGTGTTAATCTGCCCTGAATGCCGCTCTAATGCTTGCTAATCTTGCTGCATGCCGGGCAGCTTGGCTGAGCATGCCATCCACTGCTACCTGGGGTTTAGCAATGGTGTTTTGTGTTTGCATTTATTACAATGATCTCCTTCAGGCTTAGTGGTTTTCTATTTTGAGTATCTATGTAATGTAAAATCATTTTGTTTTGAGATAGGGTCTCACTACTAGTCTAGGCTGGCCTTGAATTCACTGTGTAGCCTAGGCTGGTCTCCGCCTGGCATCCTCCTGCCTCAACCTCCCAAGTGCTGGGATTACAGGTGTGCATTATCATATCTGACTGGCTGGGAAAATGTTAATGGTATTAAATCTACCCATTCCTGAACAAGAATAATAACTTTTTTTTAATCGTTTTTTTTTCATCAGCCAAGGCAGGAGGATTGCCATGAGCTCAAGGCCAGCCTGGGCTACATAGCAAGACTCTATCTCAAAAGTACAGTTCAGTGGCACAGCACTTGGCTAGATGTGGAGGCCCTAGGTTCCATCCCCACTCCCAATAATGGAAGAAAAGCAATTCCCAAACCAAGGCAACCTATATGCAAAGACTCTGAGGCTGGAATGCCCTGGTGCTCAGAGGTCAGAGAGCAAAGAACTGCACACAGGGAACAAGGTGGGAGATGGTGGCCAAATGTGGGGCTTTATGGGCTTGAATGAGAGGTGTAACATTCAGCCATACTTTGAAGCCCTGAGAGGAGATGCACCTTTAGCGTCAATACTATACTTTTAGTTTATACTTCTAAAAGCTTCCTCAGCCTGCTGCTATGTGGAGCAGAGCCTAAAGTTTCGTGAGAATGAAAGCAGGGAGGGCAGAGAGGCTGCCCAGTCTTCCAGAGACACAAGGACAGTCTGGCCCGGAGTGACAGGTGACATCCAGGGCGCTGAGAACAGGGGGCGCGGGGCTGTTTTGGGGACGAGGTCCACCCTGCAGGATTCTTTGGGAGTTGGGCAGCAGGTGAGTCAAAAGAAACCGCAGGTCTCCCATAGTCTCCACTTGTGAGGCTGCAGGTCCTATTGTGCAGGCAGAGTTGGGGATGTAGCTCTGGGCAGGGTGCCTGCCTAGCATTCATGAAGCTCCAGGTTGGAGTCCTAGCTCTTCCCCAGAAAATCTAATAATGTGTAATCTTTTTTTTCTTCCCCCTGCCAGGGATCCAACTCAGGACTTTGAGCTTGCCCTGCAGGCGCTTAAAGCCTCTGAGCTATCTCCCCAGCTCCAGTAATTTGCAATCTTAACAAAGTGCCAACTTCAGGTCCAAAAAGAAGGAACCAGACCTTCTGGTACCTGGAGCTACTTTACAGATGGAGAGGCTGGAGCAGGCTTAAGAGGTTGATGGTCCCATTTTACAGATCGCAGATCCCTGCTTCTCTCCCAGCACCCTGAGCCCTCCTGCCACCGTCCAGCGAGACATCGGGAACGCGTTTAAGACTTTTAAACTGGGACCCGGCGCTACCCGCCCCTCCTCTGCACATGTGGAAAGGCCGCGCACAAGGGGATTTACCTGAAGGAAGGCGCCCGCGCTTCGGACTGCTCACGGTCCCATTTCGGGGAACCCCCCCAGAAAACAGGAAAATAAAGGGCATCGAGTCACACAAAACATCTATCTAGACCGCGTTGCCAGCTACGCGCACCGTCTCCCCCGCGCACTCACACAAGCACACTTTCCTGGTCACGCCCTCTCCGTAGGCGGGAAAAGGAGGCGGGGACAGTTAGTGCGCAGGCGCGTGCTCGGAGCGCGAGCTGGATTTAGGTTCGGCGCGCGGCTCAGTACGCAGGCGCAAACTGCCCACTTCGCACAGCCTCGGCTCTTTTAATGCGCACGCGCAAGCGTCCTGGCAGAGCGCAAGCAAGCCCGGGCCGGCGCGGGGCCTTGTGGGAGGGCTTAAGGAAGTAAAATGGCGGACCTGGCGAACGAAGGTAGGGGAGGCGCCGTCGGGGGACAGCTGACGGCTGGGGATGGGCAGCGGGAAGCCTAGAGACCAGAGGCCCAAGAGATGAGCCCCGGGAGTGTAGGAGTCCCGTCCGGTGCGTCCTAACGGCCCAGCGCGGCCTGCAGGCGCCCCCCATTGCGCCCCCTCAGGCCAGACTCGTCGGCCTAGCCCATCACCCGCGGCAGCACCAGCCTTTGCCACCTGCGGGCCAGGGGAGCTCGGAGGACGCCCCGGCCGCGGTTACGAAGCTCTTCCGCCTCGCAGGCCCTGACCCGGGCAAAAGGGGGCGGGAGGCGCCTTGGCCTCAGATGTAAATAGACCTTGGGGCCTGGTCGGGCCGAGAGCGGCTCACTCTGTCCCCTCCCGCGCCCTTCCCTGGCCCAGCTTCCCGTTCCTCTCGTCTTCCGCCGGCCCTTTCTTCCCGCGCGTGTGGCCTCCCACTCTGAGCACTGGGGAAGCCGAGCCGCGCTCACCCCACCCGCCTGAGCTTGGCATCCCGTTCCCGCCAGCACCCACTCAGGTCCCCTCCTTCAGGCCTGGCCGCAGGGTCAAACTGCGGACAGCCTTGGCCACTTCTTGCATGCTCCCCCATCTCCATTATTGCCTGCATTTCGCGAGAGACCACGAGGTTCCCCTGCTAACATCCCACCTGAGCGTTTGTGACAAGGTGCCACTTACAAATCCCCCAGGGGACACACTGATGGCTGCCGTTCTAGCTGTAGCTGGGTGACTTCCGAAGCCCTATTTTTAGCTGTCTCCTTTTCTGGGTGCACAGCTGCAGGCAGTCTGCCTACCTGTCCCACCCTGGTTCTCCCCAGCAGTGCTCCCTGCTTTGGGAAGGTTTCTGTACAATTCTAAGTAGCACCTGACCCATGAATGCTTCAAGGAAGTGTGGGGCCTTGGAGAGCTCTGGGGTGTTGCTAAGCGCTGGTCAGAGCAGGATGTAAGGGGTGTAATCCCAGCAGCACTAGAGGCAGAGTATCACGGTGAGTTTGAGGCCAGCTTGGTCTATATAGTGAGTTCAAGATTAGCCTGGAATAGATAGTGAGATTCATGATCCAAACAAAAGAACAATATCCCCCTCCTTAAATCTGGACTTACGGTTTCTTCCCATAATACTCCTCACAAAAGCTCTATGAGGTAGGTCCCTTCACTCCTGTCCTCTTGGCGAGAAAACTGACTTGGAGCAATTAGCTTATCTGGGACAAGTCACATAGCCAGGTTGGAGCAGGGATATAAATCAAAGCGGTTGGCCATCTCTTTTATAAGGTAAAGAAGCTTGTGGAGGGTGGGGACAGAGGGACAAGGTAAATGAGAATCTATATGATATGTATTTACATCTTGAACCCAAGTAGCTTCTGAACTCCAGAGCCATGCATCCAGTGTCATATTTGATGTTCCCACTTGAGAACATTAGGCACATGTATTGCTGGGTCCCAGAGAGCAGTCCCTTCTGTCCCCCAGTTGTTCGCCCACTGCAGCAAATGGCGAGTCCATTCTTTGAATTGCTCACGCCCAAAACCTTGAAATCACCTCAGATTCCTTTCATACATCACAGCAAGTAGTGGGTTGTACGTTAGACATATGTCCAGAGTGTGACCTCTTATCAGCACCACTGCCTTCTCACTCGGGGTTTCCTTCCCTACACTGCCACCCGTCTGACCCCCAAACCTGGAAGCTACAATAGCCCCTGATGCCTCCCTGCTCTTCTCTCCTGGAGTCTGCTGTATCAGCGAGGCTTTCTTAGCCTGATATGGGCTGTATACCCCCTGTTTAGTCTCTCTTCCTCTCTGCTGGTTCCTCAGCTAGAAACATTTGACCTCGTGGCTGGTTCTTTCACCTTCATGCTTTTACTTATATATGACTTTTATTATTGAAGATTTCTCTGGCCATCACATTTCCTGTTTGCCTTTACTGTGCTTTTATCCCACAGCCCCTGTCACCACTCAGCATATTAGATGTGGGTTGTTAAGACTGCCTCTCTGCCAGGGTATAAGCTCCATAAGATCAGGGATGTTGATCTGTCCAGATCTGCCTGAATCACTGATAGGTCCCAGAAGCACCCAGGGAGTTCTCTTAACTCCACAAGTGTTCAGTCCAAGTCTCAGATACGTACCCAGGGTTGAAAAGCATTGGCTTGAGTAGTACAGGTAAGATGTGCTGTGCTATGTCCAAGCATCTAAGTTACTCAGTACTGCATCTTCTTGGCCCTTGTTGCCATGATGATTGCCTCCTGGGTGAGGACAGTAGCTTGTGTAGCTTTCTTGAAACAATCCTGTAGTCTGTGACTTTTAGAGTCCAGTTGGAATGTTTCTCCTAGGGGTGTGTGTGTGTTGCAACTGAGTTCAGGGATGTTCTCCTCTGCATAGCATTTTTTTCTGGATACGTCCCAAACTCAGGAACTATCCTGTCTCTGGAGATACTCTGCACTATAACCTGAATCAGATTTGAAGGCAGAGTATTGTTTGTGGTAAATGTAAAAAGAGAGGGAGAAGAGTTAGCCGAGTGCATTTGAACTATCAGGAATCTTGCATTGTGAAGTTCAATATTAAGAGATAATATAAAGTCTTTGCAGGCTGTGGGCACACATAAGGGAAGCCCAGGAAACAGGATAAACTGGGTTCTTGGGCACCACTGACCTTTTGAGCTATGTTATGCACTATAGTATATTTAGCAGCATAGTGGCATCCCCACACCTAGTCACTAGGTGCCAGTAACACACATGCCTCGCCTGCCCTGAGGAATTTTGACAGCCAGATCTGGTTGCATATGAACCACCTGTTAGGGCGTGGAAGAAGCAGGTGCAGATTCACCCCCAGGTGCAACTCGGGTATAATGTGCTGGACACAAGTTCTGTGCCTTGGAGAACTGGGTTTGTGCTGTAACTCTGCTGTGTACTGTGAGTGACGGAGGCCTCAGATTCCTCCAGTAGAATGGAGATGACAAGCACAGTACCTGCCTCATGCTAGCTGTGGGCACCAGTCTCAACCCTGAGCATCTATACTGGGGTTTATGGAAGCTGTGTAAGACAACAGACTCTTTCAAATACGATTAGCTTCCATTTTCAGCAGAGACAGGGCAAGGAGTGTCAGTAGTGGCGTGGGTCTGCCCCCTTCTCAGACATGGCCCCGAGGAGCCCATGGGTGTGAGTTCTCTCAAGCCTTGTCCACCTTTCTTGGTGATCGCTTGGCTTCTGGGTGCGTATCCATGGTGGTGGGGATGCCCTATGCACAGAGCGGGCTCTGGCTCCGCATCCCAAGCTTTACCCACAAGAGACTGATGGCGCCTTTCTCGCCCCCAGGAGGACCACAGAGATGCCTGCAGTCAGCACTCATGGTTCAATGGGGAGCAAAATTGCCCCAAATTGAGAACATTGATCTAGCCTGACCAAGTGTAAGTGTAGAGATTTTCAGTTTGTACCTGTCCTGTTGATTTAAAGGAAAGAATGTAACAGTTTTTATGAACTGGAACTCACATACTTGGAAATCAGTTCACTTCTCACCACCCCCTTTCCCACCTTAAAATGAAAAATGAGTGTTTGACATTTTTCATGAGTTTGGGGCAGAAGTTGATGCTGCTTTGTGGTTGTGTCTGCAGTGGAGTGGCGAGTAGAAGCTAAGGAGTGTCCTGACAGCTCAGGCTGCAAAACTATGACATGCGTGGGATAAAATTTCAGTTTTTGCCCAGGTTCACGTGTACAGACAGAAAAGGTTATTATAGTTTTGCAAAACTTTCAACCAGGTCTCCAGCTGGCCTCACAGGAAACTGGAATTAGCCCAGCAACCCTGTTACCCTCATGTGCTAACTGGGAATTAGGGGGAGCTGAAATGGGGTGCATTTGGGGATCTGAAAAGAGAACACAAAAACACTTCAGGCGGAGGTGGCTGGTACTGTGTTACTGACTTGGCAGCACCTTAGTGGCTCTCCATGGTACTTTTGAAGTCGTTGGACCGTAGGTTTGCATCCTTGTCTACTTTGAGTGGCGGGTAGCTGTGGAACTTCTTTGTTCTGTTTTATTTTATTTGTTTATTTATTTTTTTGGTGGAACTGGGGATTGAACTCAGGCCCTTGCACTCACTAGGCAAGCTCTCTTTGTTCTGTTTTAAAGAAATCTGTTTTGGCCAGCTCTGTACAGTGGTCTTCCTGTGGCCCTTGTGTGACTCAGCACTGAAGAACTAAATAGTAGAGGTTGTCAATATAAAGACGCCCCTCCAGTTTCTGTAGCTCCCTGGTTGGCTTTTTCTGCAGTGGTCGTGGCACTCCGTGCTACTGCATAGTCCTCACTGCAGCCATGACTACACAGTGTGCCCTTAGTTAAGGAAAATAAGAGCTACTGCCCGGGCCTCCCCATCTGAAATGGTCGCCAAGGTCTAGGGAATCTATAGTTTTAAAAGCTCCACAGATATTTTATAATGTGAAGTCAAAATGAAAACCACAGACAGAAATCACAAACCTGAGTGGCAGGTCAATATGTTTAATTTGACCCATTTAGATGTCTTTAATTAAGAGCCAATGCTTTAAAATTTGAAATTTTAAAATATCCAGATTTCTGGTTTTTGAGAACCAGGACCCCTCTCCCTTGGCCAGCTCCTTGTGCAATGATGATTTGTTGGGGCCAAGATAGACTCTCCACCATGTTCAAGACCTGGCCCTCTTCCACCCTTTCTGGTACCCATCAACCTTGGTTGACATTTGGGCTTGAATGCTACCAACTAGCCTTTCAGACTTAGCATTCCCTACACTGAGAATGTTGTAGCAGGGAACTTCAGTGTAAAACCCCTAATGGTCTATAACAGTGGTGGCAAACCTATGGTTTGGGTGCCACATGGAGATGTTGTGTTACTGAAAGCTCTAAAAGGTTACCGTTGGGGCTGGGGAGATGGTTCAGTAGAATAAGTGCTTCCATGGTAAGAGCAAGGGCCTAAGTTCAATCCCCAGTTCCGCCAAAAAAAAAAAAAGGTTTACCATGACTGGTCTATGATAAAT